GATGTCATCACAGCTGTTTAGACGCAGCTCTTCTAATTCACTCAAGACTGAGAATTTCTCCAAGCATTTATCGTCAACGGCATCATTATCAATGCCTAATACTTTTAATTTTTGTAATTTAGACACGAATGAAGCGATATCCTCATTAAAATAACATAATTCCATTAATTTTAATTCTTCCAAATTATCGACTTGATGTTGTGCTAAATTCTTGTAAAACTCTTCCGCTATGACAATACCTTCATTATCCGTAATTTCCAATTGCTTGAGTTTGGGCAATTTTGTAATGCAATTGAAATCTTCTTCGATGGTGGAAAATTTAAGAGTTTCCAGGTGAACGAGATGCTTTAAAATATGTTCATAATCGGGTTTTTTCAACTTGTCACAAGAACGTATATCGAGGTATTGTAAATTTTTCAGATTTATACAGAGTTTTTTAAAATGAAATGAGTTTAGATGATGACAACCACGTAGAGATAGCTTTTCCAGGCCAACAAGCATATTAAGATGTTTACCATTTAAACAGCCATCATCTAATATATGTAAACACTTTAAATTTTTCAATGTTTGTAGGGTTTTTATTAAGCCCACATTTACCTCTACATTATTCAAATGTAATTCCTTCAGTTCTGGCATTTTTGCAATTAATGCACGTAATTTACTAACATGCAGATCGGTGGCTTCGATTTTAAGTGTTTCTACATTTGGGCAAAATGTTCCCAGAAATCGAATGAGAGTGATTATCTCTGTATGTGACTTGAGAAAAGCATATTTTAAATCAATCACCAAACTCTTTACTTGTGGTCCTACCATCTGTAGAAATATTTTTGATTGGAATTGTGTTAATGTGGCGAAAAGTTCCGTATTTAAATTGACATATTTATGTAGTGAAATCATTTTGAAAATTTCACAAAAACGTTGACAGGTGAGAGCAAAATGAATTTGATCCTTTAGAGGTAGCATTTTACATATATATTCTAGACAATCATCGTTTAAAATTAATATCAAGGAATTTTGTTCATATGAAAAACTAGTATTGCTGCTGCAGGCTGCTTCGTTTAGGTCAGCATTATTAGAATTTCCATTTAGTAGTTGTATAAGATTTTGACCATTTGGTTGATACCAACTCTTGCAGGGTTGTACCGATATAAAACGATTCATAAAGGTCAAGTTTTTTCTTTGTAAAACTCTGAGGAAATTAGTTGAAAAAAAAAACAACTCGTAAGATAGGTATAGATTAATTTCTATAGGCGGACATTTTTCTATAGAAAAGTCACCAAGAAATGCAGAATTCTGTATAAATGTGTCTCAGGAAGACACTTTTCTTTAGAAATATGTCAAAGGAAGACAATTTATATAGAAATGGGTTTTATGTTTTAGGAAGTCACTTCTATAGCAACATTTCATAGGAAGACTCATTTCTTAGGAAATATAAAGAAAAAAAATTTAAATTTACTTACATGGCCGCCACCTTTGGATCAGCAAAGTTGATAAAACAATTTTTACCTTTACCTTTGCCCTTACCGTTGCCCAGAAACCCGACTTTCAAAACTTCACCAAATTCTCGAAAACATTTCGAAATATGGAATATGCTGGCCTGAAAAATGTTAAAAGGCATATTTATTAATACTTACAAGAACAGATACGGGGAGTCCCCGTTTATAGTTTTTCTACTCACACTTTTGGGTAAATTGCGTACGAATATATTATAAATTAATATATTATCCTCTGTATAGGCTACATCACCAACCATATGATATTTTTCATCTTAAACAGAAATACAATTTTAATGAATTTTTGCAACAAAAATTTTTTTGCGTATCTGCTGCCTGCTTACCTTTGACAAAATTCATTTTATTTTCTTTTTCCTGAAGAAATTTTGTCTTTATTCGGGAATAGTTTAAATCAATATCTTATTCAGGAGCTTTTATTTAAACGATTTTAATTTAAATTGCCTGCTTTTTTCATTAATTTGAATTGAAATTCTCCAATTTCTTTGTATATTTAAGCAAATAGCAACGCACAACAAGGCGGGCAAGAAGAAGAGCCCTGCGCCGACAAACTTTAACGCTGAGGCGGCTGACAATAAAAATTTTGGCGGCGGCTTAAAATCGACTGTAAGCCGGCTAAGTTTTCAACTTCGTTTAGTTTTTAAATTTTCAACGATTTTAAATAAAAACGTCTAGTCTGTAGTCTACAGTCTATAGTCTAGTCTATAGTCTAGTCTATAGTTTAGTCTAGTCTTTTGGCTAGTCTATAGTCTAGTCTATTGGCTAGTCTATAGTCTAGTCTATTGGCTAGTCTATAGTTTAGTCTGTAGTATAGTCAAACTAGTATAGTATATAGTGTAGTATAGTGTAATCTGTCTTTATTCGGGAATAGTTTAAATCAATATCTTATTCAGGAGCTTTTATTTAAACGATTTTAATTTAAATTGCCTGCTTTTTTCATTAATTTGAATTGAAATTCTCCAATTTCTTTGTATATTTAAGCAAATAGCTACGCACAACAAGGCGGGCAAGAAGAAGAGCCCTGCGCCGACAAACTTTAACGCTGAGCCGGCTGACAATAAAAATTTCGGAGGCGGCTTAAAACCGACTGTAAGCCGGCTAAGTTTTCAACTTCGTTTAGTTTTTAAATTTTCAACGATTTTAAATAAAAACGTCTAGTATATAGTCTAGTCTATAGTTTAGTCTGTAGTCTAGTCTATAGTCTAGTCTATAGTCTAGTCTATAGTCTAGTCTATAGTCTAGTCTATAGTCTAGTCTATAGTCTAGTCTATAGTCTAGTCTATAGTTTAGTCTATAGTCTAGTCTATAGTTTAGTCTATAGTCTAGTCTATAGTTTAGTCTAGTCTTTTGGCTAGTCTATATTCTAGTCTATTGGCTAGTCTATATTCTAGTCTATTGGCTAGTCTATAGTTTAGTCTGTAGTATAGTCAAACTAGTATAGTATATATGTTCAATTCACAATCAAGTTGTATATTGTACCTACTAAAGTGTAGTAACAGTGATTGTGAACAGATCTTTGCAGCAAGTCATAAGTTTATGTTCTCAATGAAAAAAAAAAAAAAAACAATCAAAACAAATATACATAACAATGTCAAAAGATAAAAAAATCAAAAAATATTAAATTAATTAAACATGAGAAATAAACCAAATTAATTTCTTTGAATTTTCAATTCTTTTATTTTCTTTATTCCACATTTTAAACTAATAAATAAACAGTTTTTAATTAAATTTTAGTTCTTTTGTTTTGGTAAACAGCTGTTTGTTTTTGATTTCAGTATTACCACTTTATCGTTTTTTATGCTAAAATCGTTTGAATTTTTTGTTTATATGTTGAAATAAATATTTGGCAACACTAAACTTTCTTACAACATTCGAAAAACATATGAAAAATTGTCGTAGGAGTTGTATAGAGCTTTTGCATAGAAAATACCAACAACGTTGTTATGACTATTGTAGCAGCTGCTGACATACAACGCATACAACGCTACAACATCGATTGTGAATTGAACAATAGTGTAGTATAGTGTAATCTGTAGTCTTGTTTATTCTCTACAGGCGGGCATCTTGCCCTGCCGACAAACTTTAACGCTGAGGCGGTTGACAATAAAAATTTCGGCGGCGGCTTAAAACCGACTGTAAGCCGGCTAAGTTTTCAACTTCGTTTAGTTTTTAAATTTTCAACGATTTTAAATAAAAACGTCTAGTCTAGTCTATAGTCTAGTCTATAGTTTAGTCTATAGTCTAGTCTATAGTCTAGTCTATAGTCTAGTCTATAGTCTAGTCTATAGTCTAGTCTATAGTCTAGTCTAGTCTTTTGGCTAGTCTATAGTTTAGTCTAGTCTTTTGGCTAGTCTATAGTCTAGTCTATTGGCTAGTCTATAGTTTAGTCTGTAGTATAGTCAAACTAGTATAGTATATAGTGTAGTATAGTGTAATCTGTAGTCTTGTTTATTCTCTACAGGCGGGCAAGAAGAAGAGCCCTGCGCCGACAAACTTTAACGCTGAGGCGGCTGACAATAAAAATTTCGGCGGCGGCTTAAAACAGACTGTAAGCCGGCTAAGTTTTCAACTTCGTTTAGTTTTTAAATTTTCAACGATTTTAAATAAAAACGTCTAGTCTATAGTATAGTCTATAGTCTAGTCTATAGTTTAGTCTATAGTCTAGTCTATAGTTTAGTCTATAGTTTAGTCTATAGTCTAGTCTATAGTCTAGTCTATGGTCTAGTCTATAGTCTAGTCTATAGTTTAGTCTAGTCTTTTGGCTAGTCTATAGTCTAGTCTATTGGCTAGTCTATCGTTTAGCCTGTAGTATAGTCAAACTAGTATAGTATATAGTGTAGTATAGTGTAATCTGTAGTCTTGTTTATTGTCTACAGCATTTTCTCAATTTTATCACGTGTTCTGCTATTATGGACTTACCTAAAAAGTCATTATTATAATCATCATCGGAGTAATAATCATCATCTAGAAGAAAGAAAAGAATTAACAATTAAACATTGTTATTCAAATTGTTTTACATAAAAAATTTAAAAATGCATGTGAAAATTTTTTTATTTTACTATCCAGCAAAAAATAAAAACATCTAAAAATGCGATTGCATATTGTTTGCTTCTATAAACCAAATATTTCCTTACAAATGAAAACCCAGTTAAAAGTGAGGAAAGAGATGTAGAAAAGTCACTACAAATAACATATTCGAAGTACATCAAATTTTGGTGAAAAACCAATGAAATTAAGCGTGTCATTGAAAGAATGTGGTTTGTTTTTGACATCCAAATATCGGATTTTTACTGCATCTATGAATAAGATTAGATGTAGTTTATAGTTGTCAAAAATAAATAACATCCCTCCAATGACACGCTAATGTAAAATTCATAGGTTTTTCACCAAAATTGGAAGTACTTCAAGTATGTTATTTGTGGTGAAAATTCTACTTCTTTTTCCTCACTTTTTTTTTTCTGGGTATTTAATGCCTTTATTGGTCATACATCCATTCACAAAATCCTAAGAGGATATCTTTATTTGTTCAGAAATTATCTTAGTATTTTATCATATAAACTATGTACACGTTTTATGAACAAAATCAGTTATGTGTAATAAAATATTAAAATTTTAAAATATTTTGCTTCAAAATGCTTGAAACAATATCGGTTATGTGTAGCTTTTGTTAAATATTTAATTATAGATCAGAAATGGCGAATCATAACACACTTGTAGCTAGGTTCGCACGAAACATATAACTTCAAATGTAGTTCGCGAAAATACAAAATAAAAGTTTTTTTTTTCTTTTTTTTGTTCTCCAGAAAACCAAACAAGAAACACTTGTCGGAGCAACGACGATATGAGAACTAAATATTTGAAAAAAAGTGTATAGGTTATGGATACTTTACACCAGAGTAGTAGTCATAACCAAACGGATAATCAAAATCATCATCATCAACATCGAAATAATCATAATCATCATCTATAATAAAAAAAATAAGAAAAATTGATAATAAATAAAATTAAAATTAGTTTCTTTTATAAACCTCATAAAATTAAAAATATGCTGAATAATAAACTTACCATCATGATAAAAGTTAAATAATTTTTTAAAATCTCGATCCAATGTTACTTTGAGCACATCTGAAGATTTGATATTATTTTCCTAAAATTATAAAAATAAAATGATAATTTATAAAACTGCAACTTAGAAATAAATTGTACTTACATCAGTTAAACTTTCAAACTGATCTTTATAAGTTAGAGTTATATTTAAGCGATCTGTGCGATTACCGCGACCATGTTGTTCCTGCAACAATTTTAAGGCATTGCGCACAAAATCAGGTGTTATGTTATCACAAAAAGTTAAATGGAGATGTTTTAGTTTAACACAATGTTCTAAAAGCGCTAATACACCATTATCGCTGATGTCATCACAGCTGTTTAGACGCAGCTCTTCTAATTCACTCAAGACTGAGAATTTCTCCAAGCATTTATCGTCAACGGCATCATTATCAATGCCTAATACTTTTAATTTTTGTAATTTAGACACGAATGAAGCGATATCCTCATTAAAATAACATAATTCCATTAATTTTAATTCTTCCAAATTATCGACTTGATGTTGTGCTAAATTCTTGTAAAACTCTTCCGCTATGACAATACCTTCATTATCCGTAATTTCCAATTGCTTGAGTTTGGGCAATTTTGTAATGCAATTGAAATCTTCTTCGATGGTGGAAAATTTAAGAGTTTCCAGGTGAACGAGATGCTTTAAAATATGTTCATAATCGGGTTTTTTCAACTTGTCACAAGAACGTATATCGAGGTATTGTAAATTTTTCAGATTTATACAGAGTTTTTTAAAATGAAATGAGTTTAGATGATGACAACCACGTAGAGATAGCTTTTCCAGGCCAACAAGCATATTAAGATGTTTACCATTTAAACAGCCATCATCTAATATATGTAAACACTTTAAATTTTTCAATGTTTGTAGGGTTTTTATTAAGCCCACATTTACCTCTACATTATTCAAATGTAATTCCTTCAGTTCTGGCATTTTTGCAATTAATGCACGTAATTTACTAACATGCAGATCGGTGGCTTCGATTTTAAGTGTTTCTACATTTGGGCAAAATGTTCCCAGAAAACGAATGAGAGTGATTATCTCTGTATGTGACTTGAGAAAAGCATATTTTAAATCAATCACCAAACTCTTTACTTGTGGTCCTACCATCTGTAGAAATATTTTTGATTGGAATTGTGTTAATGTGGCGAAAAGTTCCGTATTTAAATTGACATATTTATGTAGTGAAATCATTTTGAAAATTTCACAAAAACGTTGACAGGTGAGAGCAAAATGAATTTGATCCTTTAGAGGTAGCATTTTACATATATATTCTAGACAATCATCGTTTAAAATTAATATCAAGGAATTTTGTTCATATGAAAAACTAGTATTGCTGCTGCAGGCTGCTTCGTTTAGGTCAGCATTATTAGAATTTCCATTTAGTAGTTGTATAAGATTTTGACCATTTGGTTGATACCAACTCTTGCAGGGTTGTACCGATATAAAACGATTCATAAAGGTCAAGTTTTTTCTTTGTAAAACTCTGTGGAAATTAGTTGAAAAAAAAAACAACTCGTAAGATAGGTATAGATTAATTTCTATAGGCGGACATTTTTCTATAGAAAAGTCACCAAGAAATGCAGAATTCTGTATAAATGTGTCTCAGGAAGACACTTTTCTTTAGAAATATGTCAAAGGAAGACATTTTATATGGAAATGGGTTTTATGTTTTAGGAAGTCACTTCTATAGCAACATTTCATAGGAAGACTCATTTCTTAGGAAATATAAAGAAAAAAATTTAAATTTACTTACATGGCCGCCACCTTTGGATCAGCAAAGTTGATAAAACAATTTTTACCTTTACCTTTGCCCTTACCGTTGCCCAGAAACCCGACTTTCAAAACTTCACCAAATTCTCGAAAACATTTCGAAATATGGAATATGCTGGCCTGAAAAATGTTAAAAGGCATATTTATTAATACTTACAAGAACAGATACGGGGAGTCCCCGTTTATAGTTTTTCTACTCACACTTTTGGGTAAATTGCGTACGAATATATTATAAATTAATATATTATCCTCTGTATAGGCTACATCACCAACCATATGATATTTTTCATCTTAAACAGAAATACAATTTTAATGAATTTTTGCAACAAAAATTTTTTTGCGTATCTGCTGCCTGCTTACCTTTGACAAAATTCATTTTATTTTCTTTTTCCAGAAGAAATTTGTCTTTATTCGGGAATAGTTTAAATCAATATCTTATTCAGGAGCTTTTATTTAAACGATTTTAAGTTATATCGCCTGCTTTTTTCATTAATTTGAATTGAAATTCTCCAATTTCTTTGTATATTTTAGCAAATAGCAACGCACAACAAGGCGGGCAAGAAGAAGAGCCCTGCGCCGACAAACTTTAACGCTGAGCCGGCTGACAATAAAAATTTCGGCGGCGGCTTAAAACCGACTGTAAGCCGGCTAAGTTTTCAACTTCGTTTAGTTTTTAAATTTTCAACGATTCTAAATAAAAACGGAATCCGAGAGATCAGAAAGTAGGATTTTGGAAGCAAATATATTGTTTATAACAACAAAACAGAGCAAGCTCAAAAGTTGTGTGAGAAATTATGCAGGGATGAATAAAAAATTCTTAAAAATTAAAAACATATCCTTTCTCCAAGTTTTACGAGGATCTGCCGATATTTAACCCTATCCTCCATATAAAACATCTTACAGAAAATCAGTTTCTAGAAAATTTTGCATTAAGAAAATGATCAATAACGTAAAAACAGAGATATTTTATTTGTTTATTTGCTACCCTAAAAGCAATATAAATAAGAAACCCACTTAACGATTTTGATGATTCTAACTACAATGGTTTTCCAGATATAGAATTTCTTACATATGGGAGATTCCACGCAAATTATTGCAATTTCGCCAATTATTCCGAATGTTAATAAGGATTTTAATTTAATCTATTAAAAATTTTAATAATCTAATAGTTTCCCAGATATAGAAAATTTTGTATTAAATTCATATGGGAAGTGTCAAGCCCCCCATTTGAAAGTCCGCCCGTTATTCTCTAAATGTTCTTCAGTAAAATTTGAAGATTCTAGCTCTAATAGTTTCTCAGATATACGAATTTTTCTATTTAATTCATATGGGAGCTCCAAGCCCCCCAGATCAAAGTCCGCCTTTTTTTCTCCAAAATGTTCAGATGAATATTAAAGTTCTTCGTGCAACATTTGAAGAATTTAGTTCTATTAGTTTCCAAGATAAACGAATTTTTCTATTTAATTCATATGGGAGGTTCCGCTCCCCTCATTGGTAGTCCCCCAATTTATTACCCAAAATGTTTACATGGATGTTAAAGTTCTTCCAGAACAGCATCATTTAAAGGGATCACAAAGAGATTGAAAAATATTCCAAAAGTTTCACTTTGACTTCAGACTATTCCTATTTTAGCGGTAATTTCTTTATGATTAAAATAAGTAAGAAGTAAGAGTTATATTCGGCAAATCATGTCGTAAAAAAGGAAATTTCGGAAGTGGTCATATACATATATATATGGACTTTGATCATTAGATTAATAAGAACCGTGATTTTCGGATTAGGGACTTAAATGTGGAATTGGATCAACTATGGACAAAGTTCTCTATAATTTAAAGTATTTTTTTTTAATTCTACCATAATTCTATAATAATGATAACTTTTGGAATGATGTATTAGCTATAAACTGATTTTCTGTAAGAGGGTTATATTAGCGGACCGATCCTCATAATTTTATTTTTCATAAATGTAGGTTTCGGTTCCTAAAAATGTTTTTTTCGTCGACATCGACATTTGAAAGCCATTTATATGCGTTTAAGTAATTTTCTGAAGAAGATTTCATATACATATTTACATTACATATTTTCGTTCCAACAAAAATTGTTTTTATTATTAAGTACGTAGAAAACGTTAAAATCAATTATTGATGGGTGGCAGGGTCAATTATGGCCTATAGAGATTTCGATTGATATCGAGCCCTTTTTGCAAAATAGACGTAAGCGAGATAAATTTTCGTTCCATTTGGATACTGCGTGTTAAATTTTATGTTTATATATTCAATATTTTAGAAAATTCAAAAAGTACCAGTTAAAGAACGAAAAATTACCAGAAATATTCCAGTTTAAATTTTCATTCACTCAAGTCCCTGATTGCTTAGTTTTATGTTTTTAGATTCATTATAAAAGAGTATTCAAATAGTACCAGTTGAAGAACGAAAAAGTAACAAAAAGTCCCGTTTTATATGTTCTCACTTACTCCATGCCCTACAGGATTAATTTCATGTCTATAGGTTCAATATTATAGAAAATTCAAAAAATACCTTTTGAAGAACGAAAAAGTACCATAAAGTTCCCTTTTATATGTTATCACTTAATTCGGGCTGTACATTCCTAATTTCATGTTTTTAGGTTCAATATTATAAAAAATTCAAAAAGTACCAGTCGAAGAACGAAAAAGTACGAAAGAGTCCCTTTTTATAGATTACAATTTACTCCGGGCTCTACATATTTATTTTTATGTTTCTAGGTTTAATTATATGGAAAACTTAAAAAGTACCAGTCGAAGTACGATAAAGTTCCCCTTTTATAGATTCTCATTTACTCCAGGCTCTAAGTGCTTAATTTCATGTTTCTATGTTGAATTTAATAGAAAACTCAAAAAGTACCTTTTGAAGAATGAAAAAGTACCAAAAAGTTCCCTTTTATAGGACCTCACTTAATCCGGGCTCTACATGCTTAATTTCACGTTTCTAGGTTCATTACATGCTTTTATGTTTCTAGGTTTAATATTATAGAAAATTCAAAAAGTTCCTTTTGAAAAAAGAAAAAGAAGAATGAAAAAAAGAAAACTCAAAAAGTACCTTTGTAGAACGAAAAAGTTCCGAAAAGTCCCTTAATTATTAATTTCATGTTTCGATTTCAATATCATAGAAAACTCAAAAAGTACCAGTTGGAGAATGAAAAAGTACCAAAAAATATCACTTGGTACCGGTGTTCAAAATAACACCCCATTAGCATATTTAGTGTTTCTTGAATAAAATCAAATTTCCCGTTTTTACCCCTTTTGGTACTTTTTTCCTCCCCATTAACGAAATTCTGTTCCAAAAAGTTGCAACATCGTATTGGGAGCTCGTTATTATGTATTCATATGTATATGTTAATAAACCAAAAACATTGTTTTAAAAAAAAGTACCAAAAATAGGTACAATTTTCACCCCTTAAACGTCCGAATATCCAAAAAGTACTAAATTCATATTTTTATTTGTTCGTCAAGTTATGAAGGATTCAAAAATATTTTTTGAATGTTATCTGGTTTAAAAGATACATGGGGTCCGACCACCACCCGCCTAGGTGACTAGTGAGGTATATAATTGCCACTCTCTTGTGGGCATTCTTCCAGGAGACCATCATTATGCCTTCTCTTTCTTGAAAAGAAAGACGTTCTTTATAGACCAATAAATAATTAATTAACACCATTACTTCCAGTTTTTAATCTTCTAGATCTCACAAATACGCCAAATCTAGATTTCAATAAACACTTTTGGGTATTATTAAACGAAAACAACCCCCGCCTGGAAAAACATTTTCATCATAGTTATTAACAATTTATCTAAATTAAACCAAACACTTGCTGTTTCTTTGCACAATGACCCTCGGTATAGTAGTATAGCAATCTTATTAATTTCAATTGTTAGTAAAAAATTATTTTTTTATTTAAAGAATAGAATTTCTGTCATTTTAGATTTTTGCACACACACAACAGTTGTTGTTGCAAATAAAAAATGCAGAAACCATTTTGGCGCGAAAAATTCTAGCAGAATTTCTTTTCGCAGTCGGCAGAATTGACATCAACTGCACTTCCCATTTAAAATACACATGTTTGATACCCTAGCCCTTTACGGTATGACATACCAGCAATGATGTAAAAAGGTGTAGCTCCGTTGTCGTCAACGAAGCTGGTTTGAAGTAAAAGCAGCGACTCGAATTAGGCGCGAAAACACGAAAATATCTGAGGCGAAGCATATACATCGAACGTTGAGCAAAGTTCTACACCGGCCAAATTTCAATGAGCGGCTTATTATTAGATAAAAGAAAACTTGCTTAAATGAAAACAAATTAATTTTATATTGTAAAACTCCATAAATTTAGCGAAAGTGTTCTGTAAATTGTACAAAATATGGCAAAATTTCCAAGCCGTATTAAGCTGAAAAATTTTCGGCGGCGGCGGCGGCTTTGACATTTTGTTCGGCGGCTAGGCTTAGTCGGCTTAAGCCGAATCGGCGTAAGTCTCTGAATAGCAACGCAGAGGCGGTCAAGAACAAGAGCCCTGCGCCCACAAACTTTAACGCTGAGGCGTCTGACAATAAAAATTTCGGCGGCGGCTTAAAATCGTGATGTTTTTTTTTTAAATGAAATGTTGCCAGAATTTCTAAAAATGATTTTTGACATGTATAAAAAGTCGACTTTTAGCTCAATTTTGCACTGATTTCTGGGTAAACTCCATGGGAATCTGGCCTTTTTGGCAGATTGAAAAGATATTAAAAAAATACGTTAAAAAGAAAAATGGATCCGAAGACGCGCGTACGTAGGTGTAAAGTAAAATTTTATTTAATTTTAATTTTTTTTTGCTTTTCAGGATTTATTGTTACTTTTGTTCGGAGGTCATCGCGAGAGAGGACGTGGAGGCAGAAGCAGTAGAGGCTGGCGTGGTAGACAACATTCTGTCTGGCGTCGTGAACAACATGATGGCTGGCATGGTGGACAATATAGTGGCTGGCATGGTGGACAATATAATGACTGGCATGGTGGACAGTATAATGACTGGCATGGTGTACAACATTCTGGCTGGCGTAGTGGACAACACGCTGGCTGGCGTGGTGAACAACATACTGGCTGCAGTACCAGTCGTCATTATGGGAGCTGGCGTGCTGGCATAGGTGATGCGCACTGTTATAATAATAATAATGAACAGGTATATATTAAAAATCATGAAAAATTTCGATTTTTCTAGTAGTCTATTAGTCTAGTAGTCTATAATATAGTCAATAGTATTTCTAGTCTTTATTATAGTCTATAATCTTATTTATAGCCTAGTCTATATTCTAGTCTAGTGTACAGTATTGTCTAGTCTATAGTCTAGTCCATAGTTCAGTCTACTATATTATATAGAATAGTCTCGTTTATAGTCAGTCTAACCTATAGGCTAGTCTTACCTATATTTTAGTCTATATACTAGATTAGACTATAGATCGCTTAGATTTAGAGACTAAAAAAATACATATACATGTAAAATTCCATTACAATAGAAGTTTCTTTTCCAGTTTCTTACAGAAAGAAATAAAATATCTACAGAAGATAAACTATTGAACATGGCGACGGAACATATGGAGCTCAAGCCAGCAGAAATTTGCTGTTGTTACAAATCGAGTCAATTTGAAAAATTACAAAAAGAACAGGAGAATATAATGAATGAAGAATATAAATGTCCCATATAAATATGATGAATGATATTATAAATGGTATGGACTTGGCTGAAGTTCTACCAAACAGCAAATATTGAAGACGTCATGAAAAAAGTCCTTTTAACTTTATATCATTTGATTTTAAAACAAAGGCTGACCCTCTGTTATGCCTTCTTCTTGTTTAATATTATAACCTTTTTATATTTTTTTTAAATTTACATTGAATTTGTAAGAATCTAGTTTATTTTTGTTTTAGTTATTTCATATAAATATTTAATTATCGACCCTACTCTGCACTTCAATTCGAATCGAAATTTATCTGCAATCGTATTGCACAATACATTCGATCGTAAAGCATTGACATGAATTTTTTTCTTTTTCATACGATTCCGTTCTTTTTGGAAAACCTTTTTTCGATTGTAGGGTTGTATATATAAATTATTTTCTTTAATTATATGTTTTGTATTGTATTTTTTACACTTTGAAATAAAATTTAACAAAAAAAATGGAAAAAAAGTGTTTTTTTAAGTTTTCAACTTTTACGCGTAATTAAATAAAATAAACATAACTCATAGAATAGTTTATAGTCTCGACTATAGAATAGCCTATAGACTCGACTATAGTCAATAATCTCGACAATAGTATATTCTATAGTCTCGACTATAGAATAGTTTACAGTCTCCACTATACAATAGTCTATAGTCGCAGCTATAGAATAGTCTATTGTCTCGACTATAGAATTGTTTAAAGACTCCACTATAGAATAGTCTATAGTCTCAGCTATAGAATAGTCTATAGTTTCAATTATAGAATAGTCTATAGTCTCGAATATAGAATAGTTTACAGTCTCCACTATACAATAGTCTATAGTCGCAGCTATAGAATAGTCTATTGTCTCGACTATAGAATTGTTTAAAGTCTCCACTATAGAATAGTCTATAGTCTCAGCTATAGAATAGTCTATTGTCTCGACTATAGAATAGTCTATAGTTTCAATTATAGAATAGTCTATAGTCTCGAATATAGAATAGTTTACAGTCTCGACTATAGAATAGTCTATAGTCTCGAATATAGAATAGTCTATAGTCTCAACTATAGAATATTCTATAGTCTCAACTATAGAATAGTCTATGGTCTCCACCATAGAATAGTTTAGTCTCGACTATAGAATAGTCTATAGTATCGACTATAGAATAGTCTTTAGTCTCGACTATAGGATAGTTTATAGTCTCGACTCTATAATAGTTTACAGCCTCGACTATATAATAGTTTACAGTCTCGACTAGAATAATCAATAGTCTCGACTATAAAATAGTTTACAGTCCCGACTGTAGAATAGTCTATAGTCTCGACTATAGAATAGTCTATAGTCTCGACTATATAATAGTCTGTAGTCTCGACTATAGAATAGTCTGAAGTCTCGAATATAGAATAGTCTGTAGTCTCGACTATAGAATAGTCTATATTCAAAACTATATAATACACTACAGAATAGTCTATAGTCTCGACTATAGAATATTTTACCGTCTCGACTATAGAAATAGTCTATAGTCTGGACTACAGAATAGTTTACAGTCTCGACTATAGAATAGTCTAAAGTCTCAACTATAGAATATTCTATAGTCTCAACTATAGAATAGTATATAGTGTCCACCATAGAATAGTTTACAGTCCCGACTATAGAATAGTCTATAGTCTCGACTATAGAATAGTCTGAAGTCTCGACTATAGAATAGTCTGTAGTCTCGACTATAGAATAGTCTATATTCAAAACTATATAATACACTACAGAATAGTCTCGACTATAGAATATTTTACCGTCTCGACTATAGAAATAGTCTATAGTCTGGACTACAGAATAGTTTACAGTCTCGACTATAGAATAGTCTACAGTCTCGACTATAGAATAGTCTATAGTCTCGACTATAGAATAGTCTATAGTCTCGACTATAGAATAGTCTATAGTCTCGACTATAGAATAGTCTATAGTCTCGACTATAGAATAGTCTATAGTCTCGACTATAGAATAGTCTATAGTCTCAACTATAGAATATTCTATAGTCTCAACTATAGAATAGTCTATAGTGTCCACCATAGAATAGTTTACAGTCTCGACTATAGAATAGTCTATAGTATCGACTATAGAATAGTCTTTAGTCTCGAATATAGGATAGTCTATAGTCTCGACTATAGGATAGTTTACAGTCTCGACAATAGAATAGTTTACAGTCTCGACAATAAAATAGTTTACAGTCTCGACTATAGAATAGTCTATAGTCTCGACTATAGAATAGTCTATAGTCTCGACTATAGAATAGTCTATAGTCTCGACTATAGAATAGTCTGTAGTCTCGACTATAGAACAGTCTATATTCAAAACTATATAGTACACTACAGAATAGTCTATAGTCTCGACTATAGAATATTTTACCGTCTCGACTATAGAATAGTTTACATTCTCGACTATAGAATAGTCTATAGTCTAGACTATAGAATAGTTTAGTCTCGACTATAGAATAGTCAATAGTAATAGTTTACAGTCTCGACTATAGAATAGTCTACAGTATCGCCTATATAACAGTCTATATTCTCAACTATAGAATACACTACAGAATAGTCTATAGTCTCGACCATACTTAGAATAGTTTACAGTCTCGTCTATAGAAGAGTCTATAGTAGTTTACAGTCTCGACTATAGAATAGTCTATAGTCTCGACTATATAATAAGTCTATAGTCTCGACTATAGAAGAGTCTATAGTCTATATAAAATAATCAAAACAACAGCATAATTTTTACGTTTTTTTTTTTTTTTTGTTTATTTTTCTTTTATTATAGATTTTTTCTTCTTCTTTAAATGTGAATAATATTAATGCTTAAGTTCTTTTTGTTTTATAATTTAAATAATTTTTACTTTTTTTGTTTTGTTTAAACTTTATAGTTTGGAAAGAAATAAAAAGTTTTGCTTTTGTTTAGTTTAAATTTAAATTTACCTTAGGATTTGTGAAAAATAAAAAAACGAGGAAAGTAGAAGCGAAACCGAAGAAGGAAATAGTTCTAAAGAGCAAAACTTAAGGAAAAAAAAAATGTTAGTAATAAAACTAATTAAATAGATTTTGCAGTATTATAAATTAATATGTATTTAGAATTGTTCTCAATTAAAAATTTAAAACAAATTGCTTTTTCTGTATTAAATAAAAATTACATATTTTATAACACTTAAATAATATCGTTACATAATAAAAAAAACTTATGTAATGATAAGAAATTATAATAAAAAGAAATGTATGTTGTTGGAAGGAAGTAAATGAAAAAAAAATAAAATAAACCAATTTAGCAAAGTTTAAAATTCTGTTTTTTTTTGTTTTCGAATTAAATAGTTATATTATAAATTTCTCTTTTGCTTTTAATATATGTATTACTAATTAATGTAAGGGGTAGGGGAGGGGGGGTTACAAATTACTATATTGTTTTCTTTTTGTTTAATTGTGTGTCCTTTTTGCTGAGTTTTATAATTAAATTAATATACATTTAAAATCTCTTTTTCTTTTTCATTCTTGTGGGAGAATTTATGTTACTAAATTGTTCTAGTTGTTGTTGTTGTTGTTTAACTCTGCCATGGCACTGAAGGCAGGCTTTAGCATATTTACTGTTCAAGCTTCTGCAGCAGCAGTTTCAGCAGCAACAGTTTCAGATTTACTGTCAGCAGTCACCACCGTTTCATTACTACTTGTTGTAACAGATTCTATTGCTTTGTTGGTGGTGGTGGTGTTGTTGTTGGCTGCTGGTTTTTGTTCAACTGCCGCCTTAGTTTCTGTTGGTTTCTCAGCTACTGCTGCTACCGGAGCTGGTTTAGCAGTCTCTACTGCTGGTGGTTTTACTGTTTCGGCGGCATTTGTCGTCGTCGTTTCGTTAGCTGGCTTATTTGTTGCATTGGCGGCCTTGGGTGCCGGTAGTTCATCATATAGTGGTGTGGCAGATTTAGTATTTTTATCACCCTCATCTGTGGCTGCTGGTGGCATGTTAACTGTTTGAGGTTTAGACGCTTTAGTTTCATTGTCTTCTTTAACCTCTTTAGCATCTGTTTTCTGGTCGTTAGCCTGCAGCGCTGGCTTATCCATTTTACCAGCCTCATGTTTACTACTGTTATCTGCGGTATTTTTAGCTATACTACTTGTATTTTCGCTAGTTTTGGCTGCCTGTTGGGCTAACTGTTTCTTATCGCTCTTGCCATCATAATCTTCTAGCTCACGATCCCAATCTTCTTCGGTATCGCAAATACGTGGCTTTTTCTTGTTATTCTCATCTCGTGACATACGACGACCACCACTGCCAGCTGATGGACCACGTCCAGCCCGATTGTCTCGTTCACTGTCATTGCGTTCACGTGGTGGACCTCCGGCACCACGGCGACCTCCTCTAGTATTATTATCACGCATGTTAAAGCGATCAGCACTTCCCTCGCGATCACGGAAGCGATTGCCACCCATACCTCCACCGCCGCCACGTCGTTTGAAACCACCTTCATCTCCTTCTTCGTCACTCCAATTGCCGCCATGAGGACCACCACCGCCAGGCATACCATCCCGGCCACCACCAAAGGCTCCACCTCTACCGCCACGACCACCTCCGCGGCCACCACCGCGTCCTCTGCCTCTTCCGCCAAATCCTTCATTCATATCGCGATCAAAGGGATTGTTTCTATTGAAAAATCCTAAAAAAATTTCAAAAATTAAAATTTTATTTTCTTCCAAATGAAATAAAAAAAAATAAAATAACTTACCAGGTCCTTGTTGTCGACCACCTTGTCCACCGGGACCACCTTGACCGCCACGCATAAACATGGGTGGTCCACCCCCGCCTGGACCACCTCTTTGATTAAACGCATTTGGTGGAGGTATACGCATTTGCATTAAATTTGTTGGCTGATTAAAGCGATTTTGCATGTTGGGATGAAAATCACCTCCGCCACCATTGAAATTGGGGCCACCACCTCCTCCCCGTGGACCAGGTCCACCACGTTTGTCATAATCTGCAAACGAAACAAATAAAGTTGTCACACATTTTATACCTGTATTTCCTTCTAGTTCTAATTCAGGTCAAGTTTAGTTCTAGTTCAGTTCTAGTTCAACTTGAGTGCTACTGTAATAATTGTGACTTACCATTCATAAAATCAGGCCTATGTGGTGGACCGCCTGCATTACGTGGTCCTGAGTCACCAAAATTATGGGGACCACCTTGGCCACCATTCTCCCGCCATCTACCCTCATTGACCTCATCATCAGGCCCAACACCGCCTCCACGTCCTCCCCATCTAGAACCTCCCGCGCCACCACGATTGCGTTCACGCGAAAACGGTTCTCCTGCAGCGGCAGCTGAATTTTCACCACTACCGCCCGCAAATGCTGGAGGAGGTTGTGAGAAATTCATACCACTGCCAGATGCTGCTGGTGGATTTGCTGAAGCCACTGTGGCACCTTCTTCGTCTTCCATTTCAATATCCATTTGATCATCACTAGACACATTGGAAGCCATGGTTGAGGCTGGGGGTCCACCGGGTGGTGGGGGAAATTGCGTGGGATGTGGCCCAGCCATGGGAGGCATGTGAGGAGGACCCATTGGAGGAGCGCCGCCTGGTCCCGGCATACCAAAGCCCGGCATCATCATCATAGCATGAGGAGGCACTATATTAGGCGGCATGTGTATACCAGATATAGGCATGCCCATATGAGGAGGTCCCAACATACGCGGCGGTCCGCCCATGGGAGGTGCCATTGAGAATTGACCCGGTACCATGGGTAACATTGGTGGTGGACCACCAGTGGGTGGAGGTCCTGGTGGTGGCTGTGTTGTATCTATGCCAAACATCATAGCTGGATTTCCGCCGGGAGGTAAAACAGGCGGTGGTCCCGCCAAACCGGCCGCACCAGGCAAATTTACATGCTCACCGCCAACACCACCTTCTTTCAAACTCTTCAATTTGTTAATCTTCTCCTTCATCCAACTGGGCATGGAATCCTCATCGAACATACCACCCTCTTCGAGTGCATCGAAATCGGTGCTCTCATCCAGTTTATTCCATGGTATATAGGTAACACCCAGCTCCAAATCCCAGAAATCTTTCCATTCCTTACTCTTGACACCCTTACCGGCTGCCCATGATATGGTTATGGCTCTACCTTGCAGTTTATGATTCTTAAGACTCTGCATAGCTTTGTGGGCATCTTGGCGACGATTCATAACAATGAAAGCACAACCACGCGGTACTATTTGATCAATGCTCACAATATCACCATATTCACCGAATGTATCGGATAATTCCTCCTGATAGACAAGTTTTGATAAATGTCCCACCCATAGTGTGGTACTGCAAACTGTAAGAAAAGAAAAGGAAAATTTGTTTTAATTTACAAAAAAGATGTTATATATGAGACAATTTGGGCAGAGTTTGTTCTTTGGTAAAACCACGTGCAGTTGTTGAGGTTATGTTAGAATTAATAATCTTTTTTTATAAATTTTATACTAAAATTTGGTTATAAACAGGATCTGGTTTAGGTGTTTATTTTGAATGGATTAATAAAATATTTTCAAAAGTTTTACTTGCGTATTTTCTTTAAATTTGCTCAATTATTATAAAAACCTTTATTGTCTTTAAGTGTCTGTCGAATGCTATATGTTAGGCATTCGAGGAGGTAATGCAATTAAGTGGAAAATAAATCTTATGCGGATTTATAAAATTATGTACTATATATAGAACTGTAAGAAAAATTACTCAAATATTGTAGAAACAAAAAGCTCTAACAACAAATTTGTAATTTCGACCTTCATCAAGTTTTCAAACTTGATGAAGGTCGAATTTTTTGCAAAATATTTTTTCTCAGAATTAAAGAAAAAAAATTAAACTTATAGCCAAGACTGCATACTATAAACTAGACTATACTGTATAATAGAATATATTATGGACTACATCATAGATTAAACTGTAGACTAGAGTATAATATACTATAGACTAGACTCTAGTCTATAGTTTAATCTATAGTCTAGTTCATAATCGAATATATAGTCTAGTTTACAGTCTAGTCTATACTCTAGTTTATAGTTTAATCTATGGACTAGAGTCTGGTCTATAGTTTAATCTATAGTCTAGTCCATAGTCTAATCTATAATCTAGGTTATAGTCTAGTCTATAGTTTAATCTATGGTCTAGTTCATAATCTTGTCTAGTATATATGCAGTATAGTTTTGGCTATAGTTAAGTCTATAGTCTAGTTCATAGTCTAGTGTAATCTATAGTCTAGTCTGTATAGTCTTGTCTATAGTCTATAATCTAGTCAATAGTCTAGACTATAGTCTAAAGTATTGTATATAGTCTAGTCTATAGTCTAAGCTTTAGTCAGATCTATAGCCTATTCTATAGTTTAATCTATAGTCTATTTTCTAGTCAAGTATATAGTCTAATCTATAGTATATATAAATATAGTCTATATAATCTAAAATCTATAGTCTAGTGACTATAGATTTAACCAAAGATTAGACTATAGACTAGACTATTGACTAGACTATAGAGTATACTATAGACTAGACTAAAGACTAGACTATAGACTAGACTATAGACTAGACTATAGACTAAACTATAGACTAGACTATAGACTAGACTATAGACTAGACTATTGACTAGACTATAGAGTAGACTACAGACTAGACTATAGACTAGACTATAGGCTAGACTATAGACTAGATTATGGACTAGACTATAGACTAGGCTATAGACTAGACTATAGACTAGACTATAGACTAGACTATAGACTAGACTATAGACTAGACTATAGACTAGACTATAGACTAGACTATAGACTAGACTATAGACTAGACTATAGACTAGACTATAGACTAGACAATAGACTAGACTATAGACTAGACTATAGACTAGACAATAGACTAGACTATAGACTAGACTATAGACTAGAGTATAGACTAGACTATAGACTAGACTATAGACTAGACTATAGACTAGACTATAGACTAGACTATAGACTAGACTATAGACTAGAATATAGGCTAGACTATAGACTAGACTATAGACTAGAATATAGGCTAGACTATAGACTAGACTATAGACTAGACAATAGACTAGACTACAGACTAGATTATAGACTAGAGTATAGACTAGACTATAGACTAGACTATAGACTAGACTATAGACTAGACTATAGACTAGACTAGACTATAGACTAGACTATAGACTAGACTATAGACTAGACAATAGACTAGACTATAGACTAGACTATAGACTAGACTATAGACTGAACTATAGACTAGACTATAGACTAGACTATAGACTAGACTATAGACTAGAGTATAGACTAGAGTATAGACTAGAGTATAGACTAGACTATAGACTAGACTATAGACTAGACTATAGACTAGACTATAGACTAGACTATAGACTAGACTATAGACTAGACTATAGACTAGACTATAGACTAGACTATAGACTAGACTATAGATTAGACTATAGACTAGACTATAGACTAGACTATAGACTAGACTATAGACTAGACTATAGACTAGACTATAGACTAGACTATAGACTAGACTAGACTATAGACTAGACTATAGACTAGACTATAGACTAGACTATAGACTAGATTATAGACTAGATTATAGACTAGATTATAGGCTAGACTATAGACTAGTACATATACTAGACTATATTAAACTATAGACTATACTATATACTAGACTAGATTATGGACTAGACTATAGATTAAACTATAGACTAGACTATATACAAGACTATAGACTAGACTATAGACTAGACTATAGCCTAGACTATAGACTAGCCTATAGACTAAACTATAGACTAGACTATAGCCTAGACTATGGCCTACACAATAGCTTAATCTTTAGTCTAGCCCATAATCTAGTCTAGTATATAATTGAGTCAATAGTTTATCCTAGACTATATAGTCTATTGACTAGACTATAGAATAAATCAGAGACTGGTCCATAATCCATAGAACTGTCAATCGACAAGTTTAATGACTAGTAAATAGACAAGTTCTTAGACTAGTCAACAGACAAGTCCATTAACTTTTCGAATTACTAGTTCATTGTCTACAACATATACTAGTTTATATACGTTGGATATTTCATAGATAAGTCAAGGTCATAGATATGCCAAGATCTATGCATAAAACCGTGTGAAGGTCACCAAAAAAAAAAAAGGAAGCAAGTACACCAGTCAACACATTCCGCTAACATAGTTTTTAAAGATTCTGAAGATTGATTAATTGAATTTTGCTCAATAACTACTTGTTAATCCTGAAACCTATACTATAATAGCGAGTACATAACAAGAGACGACAACATTTCGAAAAGATTTAGATAAGATCACTTTAAACATTTGAAACACAAAACTGTTGCGGATTATAGCAGATACCACACACGTCAGAGATTTTTAAATATCAAACTGTGAAATTATTTTGATATATGTTTAGGACACTTTTGGATGATAGTTAAAAGATTGTATACAATTTCTGTTTTGGTTAATTTCCGTTTAATCTAATATTGTATGATATTTAGAAGAGACATTACTTTCCAATTTATATATTTTTGATAGGTACGCTTAAGGGACTTCTAGATGACAGTTGGAAGATAGTACACATTAAAAACAGTTGCTCACTTCATTTGTATGGAAGTAAGAATTGCACCAAAAACAATTCTTCGCAACGAAAGTTTAGAATAAAGATACTATGGAATAACTATCGACTTATCGCCTGGAAGATACATTTCAGTGACTTCGAATGGAAGATACTTAAGGTGTTTTTAGAAGTCACTTGCATGTGTATTATAGAGTACACTTGCATCAGAAACAGTTGTTTCCAAAGAAAGTTTAGAATAACGTTACTGCGACGTTTAATACGTGTAATTTAATTGACTTATTGTATGGAAGATACTTTTAAGAGACTTTCGCGATTAAAGCACATGTTTCTTCTAGTTGTTTTCTAGAAATTACTTCCATGTGTATGATAGAGTACTCGTACACTTGCATCAAAAACACTCCTTCCCAAAGGAAGTTTAGAATAAAGATACTACAAAATAATGATCGACTTATCGCATGGAAGACACTTTTCAGTGACTTCGCATGGAAGATACTTTTGAGCAATTTCTCGGTGTTTTCTAGAAGACACTTCCATTTGTCTCATAGAGCATACTTCCATAAGATACAGTTGTTTGCAAAGGAAGTTTAGAATAATGTTACTTCGGCGAACAATTTGATCGTATAAACGCATGGAAGATACTTTTGAGAGACTTCTGCGATAAGAAACATATGTTTGCTGGATAATAAGTCAATATTTTGTTAGAAAATAAGCGATTTTTTTAATAGTTTCGATCGAGTTTTAAGAGTTTTAAACCTAACAGAAAACTATAACGGCGAGTATTGGCCTAAAAGAGTTAAAACGACGACAAATATAACAACAACCACAACAACACACACGTCTTTCCAAAGAGCCACTCTCTGTAATAAGAAAAGAAAAGTTTATATTAGTAAAATATTTTAATAAAATAAATTTTCAAGATTTCTTTTAGTTCTTCAAAAGAACTCTGAAGAAATGAAATAAATTTTGAATTTTGTAAGATTTTCGTTTCAAAAATAAGTTTAACATTTAAAATTGTATTATCAATGAGGACATTTTTGGCTTTAGAACCCCCTGGGGGGGGGGGGACTTTTCAAAGAATTCAAAAAGTGAAAATTTCCAAATTAAAAGTTTGTTTAGAGGACATTCAATTTGATCAAAGAAAGCTGAAATTCCTGTTGCAAATGTTAAAGTTTTGAAGACTTTTTGAGCTTTGTGCCCCTGGGGTTAGAGAACCACAAAGTGATTTCTATTTTAAAAGACATTTTTTGACAGACAAACAAGACATTTGCCGGAGAAAATAGTCAAAATTTGGACAAAATCTTAATTTTTTTTTTTTGAGAAAATTTATTTTTTTATTTGGAAAATGAATAGCTAAGCAGTAAAAGAAAGTATTCTTTTAAAAAATATGATTAAATTTCGAAACAGTTGTAAGAAAAATCTTAAGATTTTTTTTGAAAAAATCAAATTTTCCGAAAACGACTGTTCGTTCCTTGAAAATTAAATAGCATAGAAGTAAAAGAATGGATTCTTTTATGAAAATATCTAAAATTTCAAAAAAATTTGGTGAAATTTCGAAATTGAAAAGAAATTATAGAAAAATTCTAAAGAATTTTCAATAAAAAACAAATTTGAAAACAAATCTTAGAAGAATTTTGAAACTTTTTGAAAAAAACGCTGAAATGTAAAAAGTTTTCATTAATTTAAATTTTGAAAAACAAAGAGATTTATAGAAAAAATAAACATTTTCAAACTAAAATTTCAAATCACTTTAGAATAATTTCAATAAAATGTTTATATTTTCTAAAAAATCTCCAAGTTTTTTTTTTTTAAATTTTGTTTTTCAAAATATCCAACATTACCACTTAAATGATCCTTTTTAATCTCTGGAAGACCCTTTTTGCGGCGTTCACGTTCATGTTCACGATCCTTTTCCTTGTCACGATTGGTACGCTCACGATCTCTGGAATTGCGACGGCGATTCGAACGTGGTGAACGACTGCGTGAACGAGAACGGCTACGTCCTCGACGATTGCGACCTCCACGATCACGTGAACGGGAACGACTACGGCTGCGACGTCTCTTATAGCGATCACGATCTGGTGTGGGACTACGAGAATCATTGCCATCCAAATTGATAACCTATATGGTTTTTAAAGAGAGATTTAAAATAGATTGCAAAAAAAAAAGAAAAAAAAGAAAACAAAAAAAAAAATATAAAAAAATAAAAATGTTTAAAAGTTAAAAGTTATTTAAGGAAAAAGGTTTGGGGGAAGGTGAGGAAAGTAGTGAGAGGGATTTAGGGAAAGTAAATAATAAAGTTTGGAACAGTTTGTATAAAATATGTTCACAAAGTAAGAACAATTTTTTATATATTTTTCGTTTTTACACAAAAATGATTTGATGAAGTTTTTTTTTTTAGAATAGTCATTAATCTAAGAGTTTATAACTCTATACTAGTAGTAACGTTTAGAGTGGTTATGCTCTTTGAAAGACGTTAGGCGAGAGGTGTTGACGTGTGTGCTTGCTTTTCGGTTTTATTTATTCAATTATTCAATTTTAAAACAAAAATGTAAAAAACCCTTCTAACTCATTTATAAAATCTCCTTATTTGTTGTGGTGTTGACGTGGCGACCTTTTCTTTTTAACGTACTCATCACACTTTTAAGGTTTTTTTATAATAATTTAAGCAAATTTTCTTTTTGTTACAACAATCACTCGTAAAAAGTTTCCTTTTTTGGCATAATTTGTTGAAAATATTTAACAATTTTAAAAAACAATTACTAATTTAAAACTTACCAGCTGTCTACTCAAACGTTGTTATACCTTCGGATCCGTACGGAATTTCTGTTATTCTTTAACCTTACCTTTGGTGGTCATTTTCATATCTTTTGTTTGATTTATATTATTTTTTTTAGAAAATTCCGACGACATTTTGTCATTTTACGTATTTTTTAATTAATAGATATTGATTTAAACATTAAATTTTAAAATTTCAAGGATATTTTCATTTAGGGTCTTTTCTAAGTTTAGCTTTGTTTAAATGCTGAATATGTGTTAAATCTTGAATTCGTGTTTGTTTTCATTCGAGTTCGATTGCTAGTTCAGTTTCATTTTTAGTTTAGGTCTGGTTTAGTTGTAACTCAGTTAGTTCCAGTTTAGTTCTAGATCTACTCTAGTTCAATTCTGGTTTAGTTCTAGTTCAATTCTAGTTCAGTTCTAGTTCAATTCTAGTTCAGTTCTATTTCAGTTCTAGTTCAGTCCTAGTTCAGTTCAAGTTCAGTTGTAGTTCAGTCCTAGTTCAGTTCTAGTTCAGTTCTAGTTCAGTTCTAGTTCAGTTCTAGTTCAGTTCTAGTTCAGTTCTAGTTCAGTTCTAGTTCAGTTCTAGTTCAGTTCTAGTTCAGTTCTAGTTCAGTTCTAGTTCAGTTCTAGTTCAGTTCTAGTTCTAGTTCATTTCTAGTTCAGTTCTAGTTCAGTTCTAGTTCAGTTCTAGTTCTAGTTCATTTCTAGTTCATTTCTAGTTCAGTTCTAGTTCAGTTCTAGTTCAGTTCTAGTTCAGTTCTAGTTCTGTTCTAGTTCAGTTCTAGTTCAGTTCTAGTTCAGTTCTAGTTCAGTTCTAGTTCTGTTCTAGTTCTGTTCTAGTTCAGTTCTAGTTCAGTTCTAGTTCTAGTTCAGTTCTAGTTCAGTTCTAGTTCAGTTCTAGTTCAGTTCTAGTTCAGTTCTAGTTCAGTTCTAGTTCAGTTCTAGTTCAGTTCTAGTTCAGTTCTAGTTCAGGTCAGTTCAGTTCTAGTTCAGTTCTAGTTCAGTTCTAGTTCTGTTCTAGTTCTATTCTAGTTCTGTTCTAGTTCTGTTCTAGTTCTGTTCCAGTTCTGTTCTAGTTCTATTCTAGTTCTGTTCTAGTTCAGTTCTAGTTCAGTTCTAGTTCAGTTCTAGTTCAGTTCTAGTTCAGTTCTAGTTCTGTTCTAGTTCAGTTCTAGTTCAGTTCTAGTTCCGTTCTAGTTCTGTTCTAGTTCTGTTCTAGTTCTGTTCTAGTTCTGTTCTAGTTCTAGTTCTGTTCTAGTTCTGTTCTAGTTCTGTTCTAGTTCTGTTCTAGTTCTGTTCTAGTTCTGTTCTAGTTCTGTTCTAGTTCTGTTCTAGTTATGTTCTAGTTCTGTTCTAGTTCTGTTCTAGTTCAGTTCTAGTTCAGTTCTAGTTCAGTTCTAGTTCAGTTCTAGTTCAGTTCTAGTTCAGTTCAGTTCTGGTTCAGTTCTAGTTCAATTCTAGTTCAGTTCTAGTTTAGTTCTAGTTCAGTTCTAGTTCAGTTCTAGTTCAGTTCTACTTCAGATCTAGTTCAGTTCTAGTTCAGTTCTAGTTCAGTTCTAGTTCAGTTCTAGTTCAGTTCTAGTTCAGTTCTAGTTCAGTTCTAGTTCAGTTCTAGTTCAGTTCTAGTTCAGTTCTAGTTCAGTTCTAGTTCAGTTCTAGTTCAGTTCTAGTTCAGTTCTAGTTCAGTTCTAGTTCAGTTCTAGTTCAGTTCTAGTTCAGTTCTAGTTCAGTTCTAGTTCAGTTCTAGTTCAGTTCTAGTTCAGTTCTAGTTCAGTTCTAGTTCAGTTCTAGTTCAGTTCTAGTTCAGTTCTAGTTCAGTTCTAGTTCAGTTCTAGTTCAGTTCTAGTTCAGTTCTAGTTCAGTTCTAGTTCAGTTCTAGTTCAGTTCTAGTTCAGTTCTAGTTCAGTTCTAGTTCAGTTCTAGTTCAGTTCTAGTTCTGTTCTAGTTCTGTTCTAGTTCTGTTCTAGTTCTGTTCTGTTCTAGTTCTGTTCTGTTCTGTTCTAGTTCTGTTCTAGTTGTTCTAGTCTGTTCTAGTTCTGTTCTAGTTCTGTTCTAGTTCTGTTCTAGTTCTGTTCTAGTTCTGTTCTAGTTCTGTTCTAGTTCTGTTCTGTTCTAGTTCTGTTCTAGTTCTAGTTCTGTTCTGTTCTAGTTTCTGTTCTAGTTCTGTTCTAGTTCTGTTCTAGTTCTGTTCTAGTTCTGTTCTAGTTCTGTTCTAGTTCTGTTCTAGTTCTGTTCTAGTCAGTTCTAGTTCAGTTCTGTTCAGTTCTAGTTCAGTTCTAGTTCAGTTCTAGTTCAGTTCTAGTTCAGTTCTAGTTCAGTTCTAGTTCTAGTTCATTTCTAGTTCAGTTCTAGTTCAGTTCTAGTTCAGTTCTAGTTCATTTCTAGTTCAGTTCTAGTTCAGTTCTAGTTCAGTTCTAGTGCTGTTCTAGTTCTTTTCTAGTTCTGTTCTAGTTCTGTTCTAGTTCTGTTCTAGTTCTGTTCTAGTTCTGTTCTAGTTCTGTGCTAGTTCTGTTCTAGTTCTGTTCTAGTTCTGTTCTAGTTCTGTTCTAGTTCTGTTCTAGTTCTGTTCTAGTTCTGTACTAGTTCTGTTCTAGTTCTGTTCTAGTTCTAGTTCTGTTCTAGTTCTGTTCTAGTTCTGTTCTAGTTCTGTTCTAGTTCTGTTTTAGTTCTGTTCTACTTCAGTTCTAGTTCTGTTCTAGTTCTGTTCTAGTTCTGTTCTAGTTCTGTTCCAGTTCTGTTCTGGTTCTGTTCTAGTTCTGTTCTAGTTCTGTTCTAGTTCTGTTCTAGTTCTGTTCTAGTTCTGTTCTAGTTCTGTTCTAGTTCTGTTCTATTCTAGTTCTGTTCTAGTTCTGTTCTAGTTCTGTTCTAGTTCTGTTCTAGTTCTGTTCTAGTTCTGTTCTAATCTAGTTCTGTTCTAGTTCTGTTCTAGTTCTGTTCTAGTTCTGTTCTAGTTCTGTTCTAGTTCTGTTCTAGTTCTGTTCTAGTTCTGTTCTAGTTCTGTTCTAGTTCTGTTCCAGTTCTGTTCCAGTTCTGTTCTAGTTCTGTTCTAGTTCTGTTCCAGTTCTGTCCTAGTTCTGTTCCAGTTCTGTCCTAGTTCTGTTCTAATTCTATTCTAGTACTCTTCTAGACATGTTCTGGTTCAGTTTTCGTTCAGTTCCAGTTTAATAAAGTTCTGCTTTAGTCCCTGTTTAATTGTAGTTTAGTTGTAAGTCTCGGAAGTTAAAGATGTTATCTAAACTATTTATCGGCGTAAAATCGAAAAAATTAACTCGAATAAAATCAAAACACGAACCCAAAAACACTTAAATTTTTTTCCTATAATCACTAATTTTCTTAAATGGCGTTTAACTTTGTATAACATAAAATAATTTTCTTTAATCATCATACAATACAATTTTTTTTTGGGCTATCAGAAAAAATCTGTACAAAGTTTATACAACTTATCTTGATTGTAAGTGTTAAACTTTTTATAGAGATCATCATTTCAATATTGTTTCTTTTTGTATCTGGCTTTTCTTTTGGTATTAATTGTATTTGTATATGGGAAATTTTGTTGTTTGAATTCAAAACGTATAACAACATAAGGTATTAATGCTGATTTTTCATTGCTTATGTTTTTTCTTTGTTATTTTAGTTAATATTTTGTTTCATAATTTAACAACTGCACGTCAGCACAAATAAATAGAAATTATAAGTTTTGGTTTTCTTTAGAATTTTTCAAAATATTATATAGTTTTTTTTTTTTTTTTTAAACAAGAGTTTGTTTTAAAATTTTACTTAAGAAAATATTGCCTATAATTTCTCTTTATATTGTGGTAATGAATGGTATTTATCATTTTTTAATAAACATTTATATAAATATTTAATGAGAAAAAAAGCATAAATAGTTTTAGAAAATAAAAACACTTAAATGCTGTTTTAAAAGAGTTTTAAAGTAATATTTTTTATGTAACAACAAAACATTAGTACTATTTCAACAAAAATTCTTTAACTTTTTATGCTTTTCTTCACATTCAAAAAAATATATATAGAAAAAATTTTTGTTTGTAAACAAATAATAATAAAAATATTTAAAAAATACTTTAAAATTTGGTACCTCAATTTTTTGTTCCTCCGAAACGAATTCTACCTCTTTATTGAAATCATTAGCATCTTGGTTACCAGAACTAGAAGAGGCTGAATTCTATAAAATGAAATATGAAAAAGTATAGAAAAAGAAAGGAATAAACAAAACGAAATAAAAAAAAAAGTATTAATTTTTGGAATATTTAAATATTTAGCTTTAAAATAGTAAAAATAATTTGAGATTACTTTACCTTTAAAACATTTTGTAAATGTTTTTCGAAAGCCTCTTCTTGCAAACGTAAATTATGTTGTTGTTTGTCGTCTTGTTTGAATTTGGTAAAATTTTGCAATGTTTGCAATTGACGTAAAACATTGGGATCATTTAATAATTGTTTTAGATTGTTGTTCTAGAAGAGAAGAATACATTTTTTTGTTAATATAAAAATTTAAATAGAAATAAAATGAGAAAAAATAAAAACATGAAATCAGTACAAAAAAAAAATATTTTTGGGGTGAAATATTGATTTAGTTCTATTTCAGTACAAAATCAAATTTAAATAAGTTTAAGATATGTTTGGTTCTAATTCTGTTCATTTCCAGTTTAGTTCTAGTTAAGTTTTATTTCAGTTGTAGTTCAGTTCTTGTTTAGTCCTAGTAAGGTTCTAGTTTAGTTCTAGTTCTGCTCTAGTTATGTTCTAGTTCTGTTCTAGGTCTGCTCTAGTTCTGTTCTAGTTCTGTTCTAGTTCTGTTCTAGTTCTGTTCTAGTTCTGTTCTAGTTCTGTTCTAGTTCTGTTCTAGTACTGTTCTAGTTCTGTTCTAGTTCTGTTCTAGTTCAGTTCTACTTCAGTTCTAGTTCTGTTCTAGTTCTGTTCTAGTTCTGTTCTAGTTCTGTTCTAGTTCTGTTCTAGTTCTGTTCTAGTTCTGTTCTAGTTCTGTTCTAGTTCTGTTCTAGTTCTGTTCTAGTTCTGTTCTAGTTCTGTTCTAGTTCTGTTCTAGTTCTGTTCTAGTTCTGTTCTAGTTCTGTTCTAGTTCTGTTCTAGTTGTGTTCTAGTTGTGTTCTAGTTGTGTTCTAGTTGTGTTCTAGTTGTGTTCTAGTTGTGTTCTAGTTGTGTTTTAGTTCTGTTCTAGTTCTGTTCTAGTTCTGCTCTAGTTCTGGTCTAGTTCTGTTCTAGTTTAGTTCTAGTTCAGTTCTAGTTCTAGTTCAGTTCTAGTTCAGTTCTAGTTCAGTTCTAGTTCAGTTCTAGTTCAGTTCTAGTTCACTTCTAGTTCAGTTCTAGTTCAGTTCTAGTTGAGTTCTAGTTGAGTTCTAGTTGAGTTCTAGTTGAGTTCTAGTTGAGTTCTAGTTCTGTTCTATTTCTGTTCTAGTTCTGATCTAGTTCTGTTCTAGTTCTGTTCTAGTTCTATTCTAGTTCTGTTCTAGTTCTGTTCTAGTTCTGTTCTAGTTCTGTTCTAGTTCTGTTCTAGTTCTGTTCTAGTTCTTTTCTAGTTCTGTTCTAGTTCTGTTCTAGTTCTGTTCTAGTTCTGTTCTAGTTCTGTTCTAGTTCTGTTCTAGTTCTGTTCTAGTTCGGTTCTGTTCTAGTTCTATTCTAGTTCTGTTCTAGTTCTGTTCTAGTTCTGTTCCAGTTCTGTTCTAGTTCTGCTCTAGTTCTGTTCTGTTCTAGTTCTGTTCTAGTTCTGTTCTAGTACTGTTCTAGTTCTGTTCTGTTCTAGTTCTGTTCTAGTTCAGTTCTACTTCAGTTCTAGTTCTGTTCTAGTTCTGTTCTAGTTCTGTTCTAGTTCTGTTCTAGTTCTGTTCTAGTTCTGTTCTAGTTCTGTTCTAGTTCTGTTCTAGTTCTAGTTGTGTTCTAGTTGTGTTCTAGTTGTGTTCTAGTTGTGTTCTAGTTGTGTTCTAGTTCTGTTCTAGTTCTGTTCTAGTTCTGTTCTAGTTCTGGTCTAGTTCTGTTCTAGTTTAGTTCTAGTTCAGTTCTAGTTCAGTTCTAGTTCAGTTCTAGTTCAGTTCTAGTTCAGTTCTAGTTCAGTTCTAGTTCAGTTAGTTCAGTTCTAGTTCAGTTCTAGTTCAGTTCTAATTCAGTTCTAGTTCAGTTCTAGTTCAGTTCTAGTTCAGTTCTAGTTCAGTTCTAGTTCAGTTCTAGTTCAGTTCTAGTTCAGTTCTAGTTCAGTTCTAGTTCAGTTCTAGTTCAGTTCTAGTTCAGTTCTAGTTCAGTTCTAGTTCAGTTCTAGTTCAGTTCTAGTTCAGTTCTAGTTCAGTTCTAGTTCAGTTCTAGTTCAGTTCTAGTTCAGTTCTAGTTCAGTTCTAGTTCAGTTCTAGTTCAGTTCTGGTTCAGTTCTAGTTCAGTTCTAGTTCAGTTCTAGTTCAGTTCTAGTTCTGTTCTAGTTCTGTTCTAGTTCTGTTCTAGTTCAGTTCTGTTTTAGTTCAGTTCTCGTTCAGTTCTAATTCTGTTCAAGTTCTGTTCTAGTTTCGTTCTAGTTTAGTTCTAGTTCAGTTCTAGTTCAGTTCTGGTTCAGTTCTAGTTCAGTTCTAGTTCAGTTCTAGTTCTGTTCTAGTTCTGTTCTAGTTCTGTTCTAGTTCAGTTCTGTTCTGTTTTAGTTCAGTTCTCGTTCAGTTCTAATTCTGTTCTAGTTCTGTTCAAGTTCTGTTCTAGTTTCGTTCAAGTTCTGTTCTAGTTGTTTTAGTTCTGTTCTAGTGCTGTTCTAGTGCTGTTCTAGTTCTGTTCTAGTTCTGTTCTAGTGCTGTTCTAGTTCTATTCTAGTTCTGTTCTAGTTCTGTTCTAGTTCTGTTCTAGTTCTGTTCTAGTTCTGTTCTGTTCTAGTTTTGTTCTAGTTCTGTTCTAATTCTGTTGCAGTTCTGTTCTAGTTTTGTTATAGTTCTCTTATAGTTCTGTTATAAATCTGTTGCTGTTATAGTTCTATTCTAGTTAAGTTCTAATTCAGTTTTCCAATAAGTAAAAAAATAAACGAAAAATTAAATTTGCAAAGAAAACAAAAACAAATAAAAGCATCCAAATAAATAACATAAACAATTAAAAAAAAGTAATTATGTTCATTAGTTACATCTAACAGATTATTGGACTTCTTGGGTGAAGTACCACATTCATCACTGCTATCTTCATCGTCGGCAATATGATGACCATCATCGTAATCATAATCATGAGAGCTACGTTGATATTTACTATAAGTTTCGGGATGATGGATTTTTATCGATTCCAATGTTGACTTCGAAGAATGTTCGCCGCGTGATTTGGAAGTTGAGGCCATAGCGGTGGCATTATTATTGTTATTGTTTGAACGCTTACTACTGTGTTGCTTATGTTCTAATTGTCTCAATGAGTTGTTAGTATTGCGTGATCTTTCGTGAGGACTTACAGACTATTTAAAAAAAACACATAGACAGTGTAACAAAAACAAACAGAAATATATTTTTTGTTTGACACAATAAAGACCAACAAACGCATTGTTAATTGAAGCAGAAGAGTGAAAAAAGAATACACAAGACATAAATGTTTATGAATGTTGTTAGTAAGACATTAGAATTAATACATAATATAAAACATGTAAGAAAAAACATTAAGCTTAACTTACCGATAGATCAGCTAAACCACTGGGTGGTAATTTATCATCCGCTTGGGCACCAGCACTACCTACACCACCGCCCATACTTATATCCATCGAACTACCAGAAGTATTTAAACCTCCATTTGCTTGAGATGCTGACATATCTCCTATACTTAGATTACCCGAACCACTGGGACCCGATGAACTGGATGCAGCACCCGGTGGAGGCATTGAATAAATAGGATGATTTGGATCGGCTAAATCGAATATTGGCTGTATAACATCGGGAGCAAAAACGTTATTCTTTTGCCATAGATTCAATACACGTATAATACGACTTTTATCTTCTGGAGCACAACGAAATAAATTTGCAAAAGTTTCTTTCATATTGCGGGCGAAACGTGGTGCAAATACATCCTTTTCAGCACCATATTGATGACGAGATTGTCGCACTATCGAATCGATAACATATAGACCGGGAACTTTATATTCTGGTTTACATTTCAATATAAATTTCTCCACACTTTGTACAACATGTTTATAGAATTTAATGGCTCTCATGGCAGCTCTTGTGATGGCAGCCATTTTAGCCTTTGATATAGGCGGTTTACTTTCGTAGAGCCCAGAAAGCTGAAATGATAGAAGGGTAAAAAAGAGGTGAAATTTTAAATACATTTAAAGCAATATTTAGATAGTTCTATTCCAGTTTTGTTCTAGTTCAGTTAAAGTTCAGTTCTAGTTCAGTTCTAGTTCAGTTCTAATTCGGTTCTAGTTCTAGTTCAGTTCTTATTCAGTTCTAGTTCAGTTCTTGTTCAGTTCTAGTTCAGTTCTAGTTCAGTTCTAGTTCAGTTCTAGTTCAGTTCTAGTTCAGTTCTAGTTCAGTTCTAGTTCAGTTCTAGTTCAGTTCTAGTTCAGTTCTAGTTCAGTTCTAGTTCTAGTTCAGTTCTAGTTCAGTTCTAGTTCAGTTCTAGTTCAGTTCTAGTTCAGTTTTAGTTCAGTTCTAGTTCAGTTCAAGTTAAGTTCTAGTTCAGTTCTAATTCATTTCTAGTTCAGTTCTGTTCTAGTTCTGTTCTAGTTCTGTTCTAGTTCAGTTCTAGTTCAGTTCTAGTTCAGTTCTAGTTCAGTTCTAGTTCAGTTCTAGTTCAGTTCTAGTTCAGTTCTAGTTCAGTTCTAGTTCAGTTCTAGTTCAGTTCTAGTTCAGTTCTAGTTCAGTTCTAGTTCAGTTCTAGTTCAGTTGTAGTTCAGTTCTAGTTCAGTTCTAGTTCAGTTCTAGTTCAGTTCTAGTTCAGTTCTAGTTCAGTTCTAGTTCTGTTCTAGTTCAGTTTTAGTTCAGATCCAGTTTAGTTCTAGTTCAGTTGTAGTTCAGTTGTAGTTCAGTTGTAGTTCAGTTCTAGTTCAGTTTTCGTTCAGTTCTTTCCCAAAAGCAGTATTTTATAAAACTTCACACATCCCTCCCCTTTTTGTTCTAATTATACTTGAAATGCCTAATTTGGTGGCAAAAAAAATCCCCACATCTGGCTACACTGAATAAGAATGAATGCAAGAAAACGGTAAACAAGCAAAAATTAAAAGACACACAACAAAATACATGAGAAGTTATCACAATAAAATTATTGATAAATAATAAAAAAAAAAAATATATTAATAAAAAAGATAACAAAGAAATAATTGTTAAAAATCTTCAAATCCTTTGATAACTCGTATTTGGAGTCTAAAAATATAGCACAAACCAATAAGGGTTCTAAAATGAGCATTAGCCATCATAGTAAGGCCAACAAACAACACACACTGACAAACGTGGCCTGTTTTACTAATTTCTACACAAACGCCGACTATTCGCTTTTTATAGTTTTTTTTCTTGGACACAAATATTTATGTAATAAATGCTTTACAATAAAACTGGAAATTTATTTTATTTAATAATTACTAATAACTTACCTCATTATTAAACGCCACTACGTTTTCCATTTTTTTGTCTTTTTTCCTTTACAGATTTCTTCTGGTGTCGTCGTTGTCTACCGTCAAGAAGAAAAAAATCTTGCAAGCAGCCTCAATTAAGAAAAAAAATTCTTCTTTGTACACTTTTAAAAAGTAGTCTTGTTTTTTCTTGCACTTATTTTCTTATATATTTCGAAATATACATATTTATTTCATATATTTTTATTAAATATACACTTGAAGTTTGTGTTTTTATATAAATTAATAGATTTCTGTTTAATATTAACACTTTTTTTTCAAAGAAAAACTTTCCACAAGAAATTTTTTTCCATCAACCGTGTGAATTTTTTCATTTCTCAAGCAGACACAAAAAGGAAGAGTAAAAGAATAAGGCAAAATGGCGATTTCTATACAGGGTTGTATAAATTATGTCAAATTGTACACAGGGTTGTAATTTAGTTGCATTTAGTAAGTAAGTTGATATGGCAGCACGAAAAAATTAATGATTAACGGTATTGTGGGGAAATTTAATTTAGTTTTAAAATAGTTTTTTAATGAAAATTGCATAAAAATAGTTTAAAATTATAATAATGTTTTTATTAAAAGGAATCAAATTTTGTTATTTTTATTATTATTCTTTTTTACTTTTTCTTTACTTGCCCCATTCTCTAGCAATCCATTCGGCAACCCTTTATAATTGCCCCATCACTGGTTTCCGCTGGGTGGCAGCACTTAATATAAACTTAACGCCATTTTTCTAATGGAATGACGTAAATTTTTTTGTTTTTAACAATTCATACGTAAATACGCCAGTACGACACGTAAAAAAATACTGAAACAGTAAAAAGTATTTGAAAAATTTTCAAATTTGCCATGACGTCGAACCATAGGCCCTTGGAGGAAGGTGACATCGAGCTAATCGATCGTGTACGTGCATCACCTTGTCTCTACAATACAAAAGATCCCAATTTTCGTTTGATATATAAAAAGGAACAAGAATGGCAGGCCGTAGCCGATGGTTTAGCCATGACCCATTGGGAGGCTCGAAAACGTTGGACAGTGCTAAGAGATCGTTATGCCCGCGAGTTAAAACAGTTGATATTGCATCCTGATAGTACGGAATATGGAAAAAATGATTTTTTCTTACGTATGGATTTCATACGAAACTATGTTAAGAAACGGGAAGTAAAAAGAAAACGCGATAAAGCGAGACCCGTCAAATTGTATAAAGTGGAGTCGGATGGGTCCAATTATGAAACGGATTATAATCAAATGTCTCAAACGGAAAAAAGCTATATAATTGATGATAGTCAGGATGGTTCATCGACGGGTAAATATAGTTATGTCGAACAATTATCACAGGACCATATGGAAGTTGCGCCTGAACATCAACATGCAAATGAAATACAGGAAGAGGAACCGGATGAACATTGTGGCGAACAGGAATATCATGATTATGTGGAAGGTATTAATTAGTTTGTGATCAGACTATAGACTAGACTAGATAATAACTAAATTATAGACTAGACCATACTATGGACTAAACTTTAGATATCTTCTTATAATTCTATTATAATTATTTTTTTATATCCATACAACATAGATACTTCTGCGGTCTACGAAGCAGTTGAGGAAGATCCTGAAAACCTTACCCATACCGAAACAGATGCCAATTACTTACTGGCACCTTCAGTTAGTCGCTCAGTTGCTGCTGGTGGTGACAGCAATGTTATAGTTAAACCAGAATGCAATAATATTGTTGATGGTTACAATATTTCCATGCAAGAAGAACAATTATGTAGCGCACCAGCCCCACCACCTCCTCTCGTACATTCACATCAAAAAACTGTTATACAAAATACCAGCCGGGATACTAACTCTCCAAACTTGCCGCCCGATACAGAAGAATATTTCTCCAAAACGATAGCCTCCTATTTGAGACAGCTCTCGCCACGTCATAAAATTAAGGCTAAAGTGGAAATGATGCAAATTATTGAAAAATTTATAGAATTAGAAGAAACAAAGTCGTAAAAAACAGCAAAATTATTAATTAGTTTTAAGCGTAAACATAGTTTTAAGTGTGTACATAAGGAAAATCCGTGTAATATTTTAATAAAAAATATATATATTATTAAAAAAATTAACAAAAATCTTCATTGATTATATCGGCATTAACCGCTAAACCACGTTCCTTTAAAGCTTTCGATATTAGACGATGTTTTTCCTGACGCTGTTCCTGTTCTCGTCTTTGGGCATCGAGTATCTCATCTACCGATATTTCCTTTAAGGGCAATTTCGATTCTTTTTCACGATCCTAAAAAAAATAAAAACAATTCTATGTAGCTGCTTAGTTTTTCGATTAAAACAACTTACGATTTCTCCCAGTAAGACCACATTTTCTCCACGTATTATAAAAACTCCCCGGGGTATATCGCCATACTCATTGCCAACGTGTATACGTTCTATAGTACGATGCAGCACCAGATTGGCAAATTGATCCACCGAACGTAAATAACCTATTAAAGTGCGACCATCTCTTAATAAAACCATTAGTTTTTCTGTTGGAAAATGAAGTAATTTAAAGTTTTCTTTATTTAGGTTTCCTCTTTTCACTTACTATCCACCTCTTCCAGTAGATGAGCAGTGCCGGCTAAAGGATTTAAATCATCCATATTTTTGTGTTCGTTTATAGTTAAATATAATTAAGTAAATGCAATTTAGGTTTAAATATTTTTTTAGTTCAAATTAAAGAGTTTTTAAAGTATTTTTATAAATTTTAATTTAATTTTCTAACATTTTGCTTTAATAAACAATGACAACAGTAAGAATGAACAAGTCAAAACAAAATTTTGCAAAAATGGTTAGCAGGGTTGTATATTTAGTTACTTTATATATTTGACACAAAACAAAATAATTAGGTGTATAAAAAATGCCGGGAAAGTATAATAAATTGTGGGGAACTCATTACGGAAAAGATATATAATTTAAAAATCGTTTTCTATAAAGAACAATGTTATAAATAAGTTGTGTATACAAAATACTATTATACTTAAAACTGTCATACAAAAAGTTATATGCAAAACAATTTATAGAGAAATATATTGTAGAGATTTTTTTAATTTAGAAAATATCGTTATACACAACATTTCTTATGGAATATTTTATATAAAAACTGTCGAAAAACGTATACATAACATACAAATTTCAACTTACAATACTTTGTATAGAAAAAAATATTATACGCAACATTACATAAAATATTCTATTACAAATACATTTTCTACAAAAAATCTGTTATACAAAACTATAGACTAGTCTATAGTTTTATATATACTCTTGTCTATAGTTTTGTATATAGTCTAGTTCATAGTCTAGTCTATAGTTTTGTATATAGTCTAGTTTATAGTCTAGTCTATAGTCTTGTCTATAGTGTGGTCTATAGTCTAGTCTATAGTCTAGTCTATATTTTAGTCTATAGTTTAGTCTATAGTCTAGTCTATAGTCTAGTCTGTAGTCTGGGCTAAAGCCTAGTCTATAGTCTAGTATAGTTTATAGACTAGTCTGTAGTCTAGTCTAGGTTGTACATTAACTACTATAAGTAACTACTTGTTCGAAAAGTAGTACATACCTAAATACTATGAAAAAAGTAATAACTTCTCCATCTCTGCTTGTGTTAAGTACCTTGGGAAACAAACAAAACCTTAACATCTGGCAATATTTCCCCACACAACATGTCATTTATTTCCACCACTCTCTCCATCAAAACGTAGACAAAAAGAAAAATAAAAAATCTTTGAGAACATCGGATCAAGTGTAAAACAGAAGATTATTTAAATTTTTTTATTCGGACAAAAGTATTTGAGAAAAAAAGAAGCAAGCAACCTCTTGCAAGAAAAGAATTCACAACAATAATAAGAAAAAAATCACGAAGTTTCTACGAAAACGACTTAAAAATTATAAAAATAATACAAGTGCAAACGAAATTACATAAAATTTAATGCAAAATACAAGTGAAAAAGCTAAAAATTATTAAATTTATTATAGATAATAAGGTAATCAAACATAAATCAGTAAATGGAAAGTGAAAATTTCACGAGAGTTGATTTCAAAAAAGCAGCACCAGTGAAAAAATATATACAGGGTGTCTAAGGGATATTAAACCGTTGGTATTGTGTGTTTTTTGTGTAGAAAAAAACAGACGAGTCATACTTTGTGCAATTTTTAAGCACGATTGTGTAATACAATAAATAATAAATTGAAATTAGTGAAGTGTAAATATTTAATACCAATAACAAAATAAATTTAAATAAAGAAAGTTTTCTAAGCCAGTTTTTCTTATAAGAATTAAAATTTTATGTGAAAATAATATTATTGGAAAAATCAATTTTCTAATTGTTTGCCAACTGTTCCTTTCTAAAATTGTTTGTGTTAATTTTTCAGCTAGCTATTCTAAAACATAAAAACAAAAGCAAATCCTTAAAAACGGGTTGAATAAATTGCAACAAATAAAAAACAACAAAATGAATACTTTCGTCAAAAACTACCGGAAAAGTGGTATTACCACACACATGGTTCTGCCCTCAAAGAAATGTAAGTACAAATCCAAAAAAAATAATTGTTTATTTTATTCAAAAAAATCTACAGACTTTATTTTTCGTGTAAAAGAAAATTTTCCATTGTAAGAAAATAAAAAATACGTAAAAAACAACAACAAAACATGTTCGTGTTTGACGAGAACAAATAAAAAAAAAAATAAGAATGACGTGTGTGTGAGAGTTTGTTGTTTTGTTATTGTTTTTTTGTCATAACATTACCAAAGTCAAAAGAGTTGCCAGACCATATGCCGGTTCAGAGATTTTTAAATCGGACTGTCAAATTACATGTAAATTACTAAAGATTAATTATTAATAAAAATAATACAAAAATATATAAATAATATAACTACAATTTTCTTATCCTTCTCCTTTTGTTAGTGTGTTAGTTGTCATTGAATATTTATTACAAACATCTGTTATTTGTTTTGCTTTTTTGCCTGTTCTTTTGCTGTTTTTTTGTGTTGTTCTGTCTAATTCGAAAATAAAATTTGTCAAGTCTGCAAATTAGCGCTTATCAATTTATGTTTTTTGTGCTTATTCATTTATAATTTAGTTTTTTGTAGTTTTTCTTGTTTTAAATTTGATAACAAATCATTTGGTTTGTGTTAGTATTTATTATTATTTAAATGTTTGTGCCAAAATTTAAATTTCTTAAAAAATTTTTGCCGTTTTCAATTGTTCAATTAAAACTTCTGTTATTGAATATCTTTAGATCTAAACTAGAACTGAACTAGAATTGAACTAGAACTGAACTAGAACTGAACTAGAACTGAACTAGAACTGAACTAGAACTGAACTAGAACTGAACTAGAACTGAACTAGAACTGAACTAGAACTGAACTAGAACTGAACTAGAACTGAACTAGAACTGAACTAGAACTGAACTAGAACTGAACTAGAACTGAACTAGAACTGAACTAGAACTGAACTAGAACTGAACTAGAACTGAACTAGAACTGAACTAGAACTGAACTAGAACTGAACTAGAACTGAACTAGAACTGAACTAGAACTGAACTAGAACTGAACTAGAACTGAACTAGAACTGAACTAGAACTGAACTAGAACTGAACTAGAACTGAACTAGAACTGAACTAGAACTGAACTAGAACTGAACTAGAACTGAACTAGAACTGAACTAGAACTGAACTAGAACTGAACTAGAACTGAACTAGAACTGAACTAGAACTGAACTAGAACTGAACTAGAACTGAACTAGAACTGAACTAGAACTGAACTAGAACTGAACTAGAACTGAACTAGAACTGAACTAGAACTGAACTAGAACTGAACTAGAACTGAACTAGAACTGAACTAGAACTGAACTAGAACTGAACTAGAACTGAACTAGAACTGAACTAGAACTGAACTAGAACTGAACTAGAACTGAACTAGAACTGAACTAGAACTGAACTAGAACTGAACTAGAACTGAACTAGAACTGAACTAGAATTGTTTAACAATGTCTTGTTTATCCTTTTTCCCTTCCTTTGTTTTTTTCTTAGCAGCTATGTAACTCTATATTTTATTGTTCTTCTTTGTAAATCTATAGGGAATACAAAAGTCATTAATTTTAGACATACGCTTTTCCCAAAAAATATCTTAACAAAGAGATTGTTAATACACAATTGATTGTGAAATTTTTGCACTGAATTACGTTGTGTTTTACATTTTCCTTCTTTAATTTTTTTTTTGGCAACTGCTCACGAATGTTTTTTGTTTTTGAATACAACAATTAAAATTAAACTTGATCTGAACGAAGGTGAAATTATTTGAAAATTAGGTTAATGCACTATTTTGTATTTAAAACACACGAAAAAGAAAGCATTATTTGTCATTATTAATAACAAAAATTTAAGATAAATACTAAATGATTCCATAAATATAATTATAATGAAATTTGTTTTTAACAAATTTCAAACATAAAATTGTGCGACATTTGTAATCATTTTAAGATTTTGTTAAAAATTATCTTTAACCTATTTTCAAACATGACGCAATATTCGATTTTGTGGTGGAAAAACAATAATTGAAAATATATTTTTCTTTTCAAAATGTTTTTAATATTTTAATATTTTCTATTTAATATTCTTATTTAAAGCAATTTGTTTTATGAAAAAATTTGCAAAATTTTTTTTTGTTATTAATTTTCTTTTAAACAATTAGACTTGGTTAGACAAATTGACGTCTCTCCTTTTTGTTTTGTTTAAGGGGAATTATTGTTTTGTATAGTTGTTTATATTTAAGGTAAAAGTACATTTAATTTGTGCTCTTTTGGTATTATGTTATTAATTTATATTATATATATTTTTTTTTTATTTTATAATATTGTTTATTATATATTTCTTTTTATTTATTTTATTTATTAACCTAAACAAATTAACACTTTTATTATTTACTATTTTAATACTTGGCTTATGTGGACGTCTTAATCTTTTTTAATCTAAAAGTAAATTTATCATATCAACACCATTTGATAACAAAATGTTGGAGTAAAAATAAAAAAGATTAGTTAATTTTGACAACTAAGTTCTAATAGTTAACATTAAAAAAGAAAAGAGAAGGACTGATGTAGATGAGAACAGGATCTGATATGAACTAGAACAGAATTAGAACAGAACTAGAACAGAACTAGAACAGAACTAGAACAGAACTAGAACAGAACTAGAACAGAACTAGAACAGAACTAGAACAAACTAGAACAGAACTAGAACAGAACTAGAAAGAACTAGAACAGAACTAGAACAGAACTAGAACAGAACTAGAACAGAACTAGAACAGAACTAGAACAGAACTAGAACAGAACTAGAACAGAACTAGAACAGAACTAGAACAGAACTAGAACAGAACTAGAACAGAACTAGAACAGAACTAGAACAGAACTAGAACAGAACTAGAACAGAACTAGAACAGAACTAGAACAGAACTAGAACAGAACTAGAACAGAACTAGAACAGAACTAGAACAGAACTAGAACAGAACTAGAACAGAAACTAGAACAGAACTAGAACAGAACTAGAACAGAACTAGAACAGAACTAGAACTAGAACAGAACTAGAACTAGAACAGAACTAGAACAAACTAGAACAGAACTAGAACAGAACTAGAACAGAACTAGAACAGAACTAGAAACAGAACTAGAACAGAACTAGAACAGAACTAGAACAGAACTAGAACAGAACTAGAACAGAACTAGAACAGAACTAGAACAGAACTAGAACAGAACTAGAACTAGAACAGAACTAGAACAGAACTAGAACAGAACTAGAAACAGAACTAGAACAGAACTAGAACAGAACTAGAACAGAACTAGAACAGAACTAGAACAGAACTAGAACAGAACTAGAACAGAACTAGAACAGAACTAGAACAGAACTAGAACAGAACTAGAACAGAACTAGAACAGAACTAGAACAGAACTAGAACAGAACTAGAACAGAACTAGAACAGAACTAGAACAGAACTAGAACAGAACTAGAACAGAACTAGAACAGAACTAGAACAGAACTAGAACAGAACTAGAACAGAACTAGAACAGAACTAGAACAGAACTAGAACAGAACTAGAACAGAACTAGAACAGAACTAGAACAGAACTAGAACAGAACTAGAACAGAACTAGAACAGAACTAAACAGAACTAGACAGAACAGAACAGAACTAGAACAGAACTAGAACAGAACTAGAACAGAACTAGAACAGAACTAGAACAGAACTAGAACAGAACTAGAACAGAACTAGAACAGAACTAGAACAACTAGAACCGAACTAGAACAGAACTAGAACAGAACTAGAAACAGAACTAGAACAGAACTAGAACAGAACTAGAAACAGAACTAGAACAACTAGAACAGAACTAGAACAGAACTAGAACGCCTAGAACAGAACTAGAACAGAACTAGAACAGACTAGAACAGAACTAGACAGAACTAGAACCAGAACTAGAACAGAATGAACAGAACTAGAACAGAACTAGAACAGAACTAGAAACTGAACAGAACTAGAACAGAACTAGAACAGAACTAGAACAGAACTAGAACAGAACTAGAACAGAACTAGAACAGAACTAGAACAGAACTAGAACAGAACTAGAACAGAACTAGAACAGAACTAGAACCAGAACTAGAACAGAACTAGAACAGAAACTAGACAGAACTAGAACAGAACTAGAACAGAACTAGAACAGAACTAGAACAGAACTAGAACAGAACTAGAACAGAACTAGAACAGAACAGAACTAGAACAGAACTAGAACAGAACTAGAACAGAACTAGAACAGAACTAGAACAGAACTAGAACAGAGACTAGAACAGAACTAGAACAGAACTAGAACAGAACTAGAACAGAACTAGAACAGAACTAGAACTAGAACAGAACTAGAACAGAACTAGAACAGAACTAGAACAGAACTAGAACCGAATAGAACAGAACTAGATACAGAACTAGAACAGAACTAGAACAGAACTAGAACAGAACTAGAACAGAAACTAGAAAGAACTAGAACAGAACTAGAACAGAACTAGAACAGAACTAGAACAGAACTAGAACAGAACTAGAACAGAACTAGAACAGAACTAGAACAGAACTAGAACAGAACTAGAACAGAACTAGAACAGAACTAGAACAGAACTAGAACTGAACTAGAACAGAACTAGAACAGAACTAGAACAGAACTAGAACAGAACTAGAACAGAACTAGAACAGAACTAGAACAGAACTAGAACAGAACTAGAACAGAACTAGAACAGAACTAGAACAGAACTAGAACAGAACTAGAACAGAACTAGAACAGAACTAGAACAGAACTAGAACAGAACTAGAACAGAACTAGAACAGAACTAGAACAGAACTAGACAGAACAGAACAGAACTAGAACAGAACTAGAACAGAACTAGAACAGAACTAGAACAGAACTAGAACAGAACTAGAACAGAACTAGAACAGAACTAGAACAGAACTAGAACAGAACTAGAACAGAACTAGAACAGAACTAGAACAGAACTAGAACAGAACTAGACACAGAACTAGAAACAGAACTAGAACAGAACTAGAACAGAACTAGAACTGAACTGGAACAGAACTAGTATATATTTCATGCATGAATAATACACACAATTAATCACTCCTTTAATAAATTGATTGTTTTTTCAAATATATCAATACTTTTTTGAAACTTTCAGATTCCTCAGCACATTATCGTTCACATTTTGCGCTAAAATATCGCCTTGATCCACATGGACCACACAGCTATGTCAGTCGACATACACTACTATCACATCATCAATATCTACCGGCTGTTACAGTGGCAGTCCGTCATGATTATCACACTTTACAGCAAAATCAACGTCACCTAACATCGGTGCCTTTACCCTACAGTTATCACAGTAGTCGGTATTTCCGTTTGGGTCAAGGCCTTTACGAACAACCTTCCTCCAAAGTTGAGGTAACCGTGCAAAATATGAAAAATAAACAAAAGGAAAAAGTCGAAGAAATACTTAAAGAAGCCACTGCTGCAACAGCAGCTGCAAGTGACAATAAAGTGGTGGAGGCCACCCAAAAACCGGTTGCCATTAAGAAACCTTTAAAGACCCGCATTTGGGAGGAGATTGTACATTATTATCATGGTTTCCGGTTGCTATTTATCGATATCAACATTTGCCGCAAGTTGCTGTGGCGTGTGCTGAATGGCAAAACTTTGACCAGAAGAGAAAATAAGCTTTTGGTGCGCACCACTTCTGATGTGTTCCGTTTGATACCATTCTCGGTATTTATTATAGTTCCTTTTATGGAATTGGCTCTGCCTTTGTTTATAAAATTTTTCCCCGGCATGTTGCCATCCACATTCCAAACTAGCAAGGAAAGGGAGGATAAACTAAAACAGGCTTTGCAAGTGCGTTTGGAAATGGCCAAATTCTTGCAAAAGACCTTGGATGAAATGACTGTTCAGCATAAGGAGCACAAGAGTGAGGAAGCCAAACAGTTTGAATTATTCTTTCAAAAGATCAAGGATCCCAATGAGCAGGTATCCAATGATGACATTATAAAGTTTGCCAAACGCTTTGAAGATGAAATCACTTTGGATTCTCTCAGCGGCGAACAACTGTCGGCCTTGTGTAGGGTTCTAGAGTTGAATACAGTGGGTACCTCGAATCTACTAAGATTCCAATTGCGTTTGAAATTACGTTCATTAGCCGCAGATGATCGTGTCATAGAACGTGAGGGTGTTAATTCTCTGGATTTATGGGAATTACAGCAGGCCTGCAAGGCTCGTGGCATGCGTGCCTATGGCCTGACTAAGGAGCGTATGCAAAAACAATTACAAGAATGGATCGACTTATCGCTAAATGAAAAAGTACCTCCCACTTTGCTTTTGCTCTCGAGAGCAATATCGATTTCGGATGATTCCATTACCACCGATAAGCTTAAGGAAACCCTTAGAGTATTACCCGATTCGTTGGCCAATCAAACTAAGGCCGCCATTGGTGAACGTGAAGGCAAAATCGATAACAAAGTCAAATTGGAAATTATCAAAGAGGAAGTGCGCAAAATCCAAGAAGAACGCGAAGAGGAAAGGCAAGAAGCCAAGGCTAAGGCTCAAAAGGAGGATATGCTCGATAAGGCTAAACTCATTGAAGATGTCAGCGCTGAGCTTATAGATCGCGCCAAGGATGTTACCGATCAAGTACCACCATTGGAAAGAGTGAAACCTATTGTCTCAACCGTGCTCACTGAAGCACAAACCGCTAAGGAGGCTGAAACCGCCAAGGCTAAGGATGAAGAAGAGAAATCTATTTCCTCCAAGGATGTAGAACTCTTATCGGAAGCCTTGAAAACTCTCTCCACCGATAAGAAAATGGTGGTCGAAAAGGAAACCATTAAAGATCTCAAAACTGAACTGGAAGAATACAAAGAAGATGTTGAAGAACTACGTGAAGTGCGTCAAGTTGTACAGGAGCCCGTCCATGAAAGTCGTGCAGCCAAAATGCTATTCAAAAAGGTTAATAGTATGATTGGTCAATTGGACAAGGTGCTAACGGATTTGGAGGAAAAACAACACAAGGTCAAGGCTCAGGATCTGATTGGGGAAGAGCTGACCAAGGAGCAAGAGGAAGCCAAACGTCGTCAACAGGATATTGTGCAAATCGATGAATTGGTGCAGACTATTAAGAAGGTGGGTGGGAGTTTGGTTTAGTAATGAAAATTAGTGCATCTAATAAGTTATTTTTTTTTTGCAGTTGAAACAAACCTCAGACGAGTCAAGACTTAAACAAATTGAAAATGTTTTAAGTAAATTGGATGCTGACAAAGATGGTGCCATATCTGTGGATGAAGTGCTTAAGGTGAGTTTTGGTAAAGACTAGACAATAGACAGATTTAAATACTATAGACTAAAATTAACAGAACTATAGCTAAAGCAGAACAAGAACTGAACTAGAAGTGAACAAGAACTTAACTAGAACTGAACTAGAACTGAACTAGAACTGAACTAGAACTGAACTAGAACTGAACTAGAACTGAACTAGAACTGAACTAGAACTGAACTAGAACTGAACTAGAACTGAACTAGAACTGAACTAGAAACTGAACTAGAACTGAACTAGAACTGAACTAGAACTGAACTAGAACTGAACTAGAACTGAACTAGAACTGAACTAGAACTGAACTAGAACTGAACTAGAACTGAACTAGAACTGAACTAGAACTGAACTAGAACTGAACTAGAACTGAACTAGAACTGAACTAGAACTGAACTAGAACTGAACTAGAACTGAACTAGAACTGAACTAGAACTAGAACTGAACTAGAACTGAAACTAGAACTGAACTAGAACTGAACTAGAACTGAACTAGAACTGAACTAGAACTGAACTAGAACTGAACTAGAACTGAACTAGAACTGAACTAGAACTGAACTAGAACTGAACTAGAACTGAACTAGAACAGAACTAGAACTGAACTAGAACTGAACTAGAACTGAACTAAGAACTGAACTAGAACTGAACTAGAACTGAACTAGAACATGAACTAGAACTGAACTAGAACTGAACTAGAACTGAACTAGAATGAACTAGAACTGAACTAGAACTGAACTAGAACTGAACAAGAAACTGAACTAGAACTGAACTAGAACTGAACTAGAACTACGAACTGAACTAGAACTGAACTAGAACTGAACTAGAACTGAACTAGAACTGAACTAGAACTGAAATAGAACTGAACTAGAACTGAACTAGAACTGACTAGAACTGAACTAGAAACTAGAACTGAACTAGAACTGAACTAGACAGAACTAGAACAGAACTAGAACTGAACTAGAACTGAACAAGAACTGAACTAGAACTGAACTAGAACTGAACTAGAACTGAACTAGAACTGAACTAGAACTGAACTAGAACTGAACTAGAACTGAACTAGAACTGAACTAGAACTGAACTAGAACTGAACTAGAACTGAACTAGAACTGAACTAGAACTGAACTAGAACTGAACTAGAACTGAACTAGAACTGAACTAGAACTGAACTAGAACTGAACTAGAACTGAACTAGAACTGAACTAGAACTGAACTAGAACTAAACTAGAACTGAACTAGAACTGAACTAGAACTGAACTAGAACTGAACTAGAACTGAACTAGAACTGAACTAGAACTGAACTAGAACTGAACTAGAACTGAACTAGAACTGAACTAGAACAGAACTAGAACAGAACTAGAACAGAACTAGAACAGAACTAGAACAGAACTAGAACTAAACTAGAACTGAACTAGAACTGAACTAGAACTGAACTAGAACTGAACTAGAACTGAACTAGAACTGAACTAGAACTGAACTAGAACTGAACTAGAACTGAACTAGAACTGAACTAGAACTGAACTAGAACTGAACTAGAACTGAACTAGAACTGAACTAGAACTGAACTAGAACTGAACTAGAACTGAACTAGAACTGAACTAGAACAGAACTAGAACAGAACTAGAACAGAACTAGAACAGAACTAGAACAGAACTAGAACAGAACTAGAACAGAACTAGAACAGAACTAGAACAGAACTAGAACTAAACTAGAACTGAACTAGAACTGAACTAGAACTGAACTAGAACTGAACTAGAACTGAACTAGAACTGAACTAGAACAGAACTAGAACTGAACTAGAACTGAAGTAGAACTGAACTAGAACTGAACTAGAACTGAACTAGAACTGAACTTGAACTGAACTAGAACTGAACTAGAACTGAACTAGAACTGAACTAGAACTGAACTAGAACTGAACTAGAACTGAACTAGAACTGAACTAGAACTGAACTAGAACTGAACTAGAACTGAACTAGAACTGAACTAGAACTGAACTAGAACTGAACTAGAACTGAACTAGAACTGAACTAGAACTGAACTAGAACTGAACTAGAACTGAACTAGAACTGAACTAGAACTGAACTAGAACTAGAACTGAACTAGAACTGAACTAGAACTGAACTAGAAACTGAACTAGAACTGAACTAGAACTGAACTAGAACTGAACTAGAACTGAACTAGAACTGAACTAGAACTGAACTAGAACTGAACTAGAACTGAACTAGAACTGAACTAGAACTGAACTAGAACTGAACTAGAACTGAACTAGAACTGAACTAGAACTGAACTAGAACTGAACTAGAACTCAACTAGAACTGAACTAGAACTGAACTAGAACTGAACTAGAACTAGAACTGAACTGAACTAGAACTGAACTAGAACTGAACTAGAACTGAACTAGAACTGAACTAGAACTGAACTAGAACTGAACTAGAACTGAACTAGAACTGAACTAGAACTGAACTAGAACTGAACTAGAACTGAACTAGAACTGAACTAGAACTGAACTAGAACTGAACTAGAACTGAACTAGAACTGAACTAGAACTGAACTAGAACTGAACTAGAACTGAACTAGAACTGAACTAGAACTGAACTAGAACTGAACTAGAACTGAACTAGAACTGAACTAGAACTGAACTAGAACTGAACTAGAACTGAACTAGAACTGAACTAGAACTGAACTAGAACTGAACTAGAACTGAACTAGAACTGAACTAGAAATGAACTAGAACTGAACTAAACTGCAATCAATTTTATAAAGTTTCTTCTAGTAAAACCTAAAACTCATATTACTTTTCTTTTCCTAAAGGTCGTCGAAGCCATTGGCCGTGAAAATGTAAAACTTAATGAAAAACAATTGGAAGAATTGATTATTCTCTTGGAGAAAGAAGAAATCATAGAGGCAGAAGAGAAAATTGAAAAGCTATTGCCAAAAGTATAAAAGAAGCTGAAGGAGCTAAAAAAGTAGCAGAACAAATGCAAGCTAATGAGAACAGTACTAAGCAACAGAAAACAGCGAGTACCATCTACACAGAAGATCTTAAAGATTGTGCTAAAGTTATAAAAGAAAATGCACTCAATCTAGATGAGATCGATAAGAAAAATGTGCTAAAAACAGAGGTAAGATAAGTTAGCTAACATTTTGGTTAATATTTTTAATAAATGGCTTTCTATTTTTTTAGGCGGCGGCCAACACCAAACAGGAAAGTGTACTCTTAGAGGCAGCTGAGAAACAAAAGGATAAAATTTTACCTAAAACTGATATCATGCCATCAACAACACCACCACCAAATACATTACCACCTAACACCAAAACAAATCAAGTCAATACTAAAGATAAAATGATATGACTTGATAAAACAGATGTTTCCCCCTCTTCTTCCTCTTCTACTACTTCTACTAAGCTTAAGAATAAACCTAATGAATAAATCCTTTTGTTTGATATATAATGACAATAATTGAAATTTCCTAAAAGTTTTGAAAAAGAAATTGTCTGTAAACAAGGTTAAAGATACAAATGGACTTTACCCCAACCAACAAGTTTCCCAGTCTGCTCTTCTATAACAGGTCTTAGCTTTTCGGCGATTTATTTAGAACTAAAACAAACCGCGTGTTATATTTCAACAGTTAGTTTTTAAACTGTTTCCTTTTTGTCATGTCATTGTGTTAAGTTTATATACATATATTTTTTCTAGCTATTTCCTTTTTAATTTTTTATAATAAATAAAAAAACTTCTTAATTGTACCTTTAAAAATAATTTTATATAAAAACGAAAAGATTAAAATTTCTTTTCTAAAGATAATTTCTAATAAATCAATTTTAAAATGATTTTGAAAATAGTTTTTTGTTTTTTTTCCTTGCACTTGAACAACTTTTCTAATTTGTTTAAAATCCTTAACAATTATCAACTGTTTAATAAAGTTTATAAGAAATCCTGTCAATTTGTACTAAAACAGCGAAATGGAAAATAATCTCATTTAGCATTTACACTAACTAAATGAGATTATTTTCAGTTTTGTGTTTTTTCTTCCAAATAAACTGGATTATTATAACCGTTTTCCAAAACTGTTCCTTGTTTTGTAATAATTATATGTTTTATTTAACAAAACCCAAAAAATGAATAATTGAAACTGAGGCTGTTTTACTGTAATAATTTTTCTGTTTTCAATTCATATAAATTGTTTTCATTTCTAAGAACAAATTTTTAATAATTTATTTTAACATTTTATGTAGTTTTTGCTATTTTTCCAAATTGAAAATCATCATGAATTATAAAGAAAAATCTATGTAAAGAATTTGCACAAAATCTAAAGTAAAAAAAGATTGTATAAATTAATAAAAATGTGAAGTAATTAGTAAATAAAGCTATTTTTATATATTAACAATAATAAACCCCTAAAACAAATAAAACGAATTATTATTATTGATAAATAACTAATGTGTGTGTGTGTGTTAAATATTTAAACTGCAAATATATGCAAAAAAATAAACTTAATAAAGTATTGTTTAATAATTTATAAATAATTAAAGAAATTAAACGAGTATTTAGCCAATAAAAGATTTGGTGAAAATAAAAAATTGTTTTTATTCAAGATCAAAGATTTTTCAGGGGAACTGGACTAAAATATAGAACCGAACTAAAACAGAACTAGAACAGAACTAGAACATAACTAGAACATAACTAGAACAGAACTAGAACAGAACTAGAACAGAACTAGAACAGAACTAGAACAGAACTAGAACTGAACTAGAACTAAACTAGAACAGAACTAGAACAGAACTAGAACAGAACTAGAACAGAACTAGAACAGAACTAGAACAGAACTAGAACAGAACTAGAACAGAACTAGAACAGAACTAGAACAGAACTAGAACAGAACTAGAACAGAACTAGAACAGCAACTAGAACAGAAACATAGAACTGAACTAGAACTAACTAGAACAGAACTAGAACAGAACTAGAACAGAACTAGAACAGAACTAGAACAGAACTAGAAAGAACTAGACAGAACTAGAACAGAACTAGAACAGAACTAGAACAGAACTAGAACAGAACTAGAAAGAACTAGATAGAACTAGAACAGAACTAAAAACAGAACTAGAACAGAACTAGAACAGAACTAAAACAGAACTAGAACAGAACTAGAACAGAACTAGAAACAAAACTAGAACTAGAACAGAACTAGAACAGAACTAGAACAGAACTAAGAACAGAAGAACTAGAACAGAACTAGAACAGAACTAGAACAGAACTAGAACAGAACTAGGAACCGAACTAGAACAGAACTAGAACAGAACTTAGAACAGAACTAGAACAGAACTAGAACAGAACTAGAACAGAACTAGAACAGAACTTAGAACAGAACTAGAACAGAACTAGAACAGAACTAGAACAGAACTAGAACTAGAAACAGGAACTAGAACAGAACTAGACAGAACTAGAACGAACTAGAACAAGAACTAGAACAGAACTCGAACAGCACTAGAACAAGAACTAGAACAGAACTAGAACAGAACTAACAGAACTAGGAACAGAACTAGAACAGAACTAAGAACAGAACTAGACAGAACTGACTCTTCTCCTCATTCTCTTTACATCTCTCCCCCCTTCTTAGAACTAGAACAGAACTAGAACAGAACTAGAACAGAAACTAGAACAGAACTAGAACAGAACTAGAACAGGACTAGACAGACGTAGCACAGAACCTAGAACTAGACAACTAGACAGAACTAGAACAGAACTAGAACAGAACTAGAACAGACCAACAGCATAGCACAGAACTCAGAACAGACTAGAACAGAACTAGACAGAACAGAACAGAACTAGAACAGACCTAGAACAGACACTAGCAACAGAACTAGCACAGAACTACAGAACTAGAACAGAACTAGAACAGAACTAGAACAGAACTAGAACAGAACTAGAACAGAACTAGAACAGAACTAGAACAGAACTAGAACAGAACTAGAACAGAACTAGAACAGAACTAGAACAGAACTAGAACAGAACTAGAACAGAACTAGAACAGAACTAGAACAGAACTAGAACAGAACTAGAACAGAACTAGAACAGAACTAGAACAGAACTAGAACAGAACTAGAACAGAACTAGAACAGAACAGAACTAGAAAGAACTAGAACAGAACTAGAACAGAACTAGAACAGAACTAGAACAGAACTAGAATAGAACTAGAACAGAACTAGAACAGAACTAGAACAGAACTAGAACTGAACTAGAACAGAACTAGAATAGAACTAGAACAGAACTAGAACAGAACTAAAACAGAACTAGAACAGAACTAGAACAGAACGAACAGAACTAGAACAGAACTAGAACAGAACTAGAACAGAACTAGAACAGAACTAGAACAGAACTAGAACAGAACTAGAACAGAACTAGAATAGAACTAGAACAGAACTAGAACAGAACTAAAACAGAACTAGAACAGAACTAGAACAGAACTACAGAACTAGAACAGAACTAGAACAGAACTAGAACAGAACTAGAACAGAACTAGAACAGAACTAGAACAGAACTAGAACAGAACTAGAACAGAACTAGAACAGAACTAGAACACTAGAACAGAACTAGAACAGAACTAGAACAGAACTAGAACAGAACTAGAACAGAACTAGAACAGAACTAGAACAGAACTAGAACAGAACTAGAACAGAACTAGAACAGAACTAGAACAGAACTAGAACAGAACTAGAACAGAACTAGAACAGAACTAGAACAGAACTAGAACAGCACTAGAACAGAACTAGAAAAGAACTTGCACAGAACTAGAACAGAACCAGAACAAAACTAGAACAGAACTAAAATAAACTAAAAGAACTAGAACAGAACTAGAACAGAACTAGAACAGAACTAGAACAGAACTAGAACAGAACTAGAACAGAACTAGAACAGAACTAGAAACAGAACTAGAACTGAACTAGAACAGAACAGAGCTAGAACAGAACTAAAACAGAACTAAAACAGAACTAAAACAGAACTAAAACAGAACTAAAACCGAACTAAAACAGAACTAAAACAGAACTAAAACAGCACTAAAACAGAACTAAAACAGAACTAAAACAGAACTAAAACAGAACTAAAACAGAACTAGAACAGAAATAAAATTGAATTAGTCCTATGGACTAAACTAAAGATTATACAGACTGCACTATAGTCTGGGCTAAAGTATATAACATAGTCCAGATAATAGACAAGACTATAGTTCACACAATAAACTAGACTCCAGTATGCATTTTGCGATAACTTTTAATTTATATTTTAAAACTTGTTATATTTCTTTTACAAAAAGTCTTTATTCTAAACTTGAGTTTACATTAATTTCTATAATTCTAAACATTCTTTAAGTTATCAAAATTATTTTTGCATCTTCTGCAACCATCCAATACGCCACGAGGTTGCCTCTGGATAGTTGTATTTAATCACTGGAGAATGTTCATATCTTTGTGTTAAGTATTCCTTCCTCTGACCATTTTTAAGTAAATGGCGTTCAGCTTCCGGCAATGGTTTCATAGGTCTCGAAAATTTTCCCACAAATTTAAGTTCATCACGAGACAGATCATAGGCAAATTCTGATGACGCTTGCTGAGAGTGTGAAGGTAAACGAGACCGCGTTCCTTTTGTTACAAAGCTATTGAAAGGTGACTTCCATTTGGTAGAAGCAGGCAGGCGGGCCGATTTTGGTGTGTTGCTTAAGGGATTCAAACCGGTAGATTTAAGGGAACGATTTGGGGCACTTTGGGGCCGTTGTTTGGTTTTATTGCCTAAAGGAGCTGCTGATTTTATAGAATCCATAGTATGTGAAGTGGACACAGGCTTGTTTATGTCTTTTGTGTCCAACTGCTGAAAATCCTTTTCAACACTATTACTTGTTATTAGGGATGTATTATTTGCTTTTAGCTGATATGTTTCCCTGCTGATTGGTTGCTGCGGTAACTCATCATTGTTTGAATTTGGTTGTCTCTTTTGGGGCTGTTCTATTCTAATATTAAACATTTCTCTAGAAGTTGCTGATTTCTTTCTTTTAAATATTCTGTAGTTTCGTTTCCTTGGTGTGGTCATAATTTGTTTGAATTTTAAAACAACTGAATTTAGAAGAAAACATGGCGAAGAAGGAAAACTGCGAAATTTAAATTAATTTTATATTGAAAAGAAAGTTGCCAGGATAATTTTAGATTTACTTTTGAATTTACCGTATTTCAATATGTTTTAATTTTTTGACCATCGAGTCAATAGTATTGCCTATGAATTGTATACTGTAGTCTATAGTCTGGAGTCTAGTCTAGTTTAAAGCTTGAAATATAATCTAGTCCATAGTCTAATATACATATACTAAACTCTTAAGTCTAGACTCTTAGTCTGGTATATAGTATGCTACTGAGTCTAGTCTATAGTCTAGTCTATAGTCTAGTCTATAGTCTAGTCAATAGTCTAGTCTATAGTCTAGTCAATAGTCTAGTCTATAGTCTAGTCTATAGTCTAGTCTATAGTCTAGTCTATAGTCTAGTCTATAGTCTAGTCTATAGTCTAGTCTATAGTCTAGTCTATAGTCTAGTCTATAGTCTAGTCTATAGTCTAGTCTATAGTCTAGTCTATAGTCTAGTCTATAGTCTAGTCTATAGTCTAGTCTATAGTCTAGTCTATAGTCTAGTCTATAGTCTAGTCTATAGTCTAGTCTATAGTCTAGTCTATAGTCTAGTCTATAGTCTAGTCTATAGTCTAGTCTATAGTCTAGTCTATAGTCTAGTCTATAGTCTAGTCTATAGTCTAGTCTATAGTCTAGTCTATAGTCTAGTCTATAGTCTAGTCTATAGTCTAGTCTATAGTCTAGTCTATAGTCTAGTCTATAGTCTAGTCTATAGTCTAGTCTATAGTCTAGTCTATAGTCTAGTCTATAGTCTAGTCTATAGTCTAGTCTATAGTCTAGTCTATAGTCTAGTCTATAGTCTAGTCTATAGTCTAGTCTATAGTCTAGTCTATAGTCTAGTCTATAGTCTAGTCTATAGTCTAGTCTATAGTCTAGTCTATAGTCTAGTCTATAGTCTAGTCTATTCAGTCTATAGTCTAGTCTATAGTCTAGTCTATAGTCTAGTCTATAGTCTAGTCTATAGTCTAGTCTATAGTCTAGTCTATAGTCTAGTCTATAGTCTAGTCTATAGTCTAGTCTATAGTCTAGTCTATAGTCTAGTCTATAGTCTAGTCTATAGTCTAGTCTATAGTCTAGTCTATAGTCTAGTCTATAGTCTAGTCTATAGTCTAGTCTATAGTCTAGTCTATAGTCTAGTCTATAGTCTAGTCTATAGTCTAGTCTATAGTCTAGTCTATAGTCTAGTCTATAGTCTAGTCTATAGTCTAGTCTATAGTCTAGTCTATAGTCTAGTCTATAGTCTAGTCTATAGTCTAGTCTATAGTCTAGTCTATAGTCTAGTCTATAGTCTAGTCTATAGTCTAGTCTATAGTCTAGTCTATAGTCTAGTCTATAGTCTAGTCTATAGTCTAGTCTAGAGTCTAGTCTATAGTCTAGTCTATAGTCTAGTCTATAGTCTAGTCTATAGTCTATCTACAGTCTAGTCTATAGTCTAGTCTATAGTCTAGTCTATAGTCTAGTCTATAGTCTAGTCTATAGTCTAGTCTATAGTCTAGTCTATAGTCTAGTCTATAGTCTAGTCTATAGTCTAGTCTATAGTCTAGTCTATAGTCTAGTCTATAGTCTAGTCTATAGTCTAGTCTAGTCTATATCTAGTCTAGTCTATAGTCTAGTCTAGTCTATAGTCTAGTCTAGTCTATAGTCTAGTCTAGTCTATAGTCTAGTCTAGTCTATTCTAGTCTATAGTCTAGTCTATAGTCTAGTCTATCTATAGGTCTAGTCTATAGTCTAGTCTTTAGTCTAGTCTATAGTCTAGTCTATAGTCTAGTAGAGTCTCTAGTCTAGTCTAGTCTATAGTCAGTTAGTCTTATAGTCTAGTCTAGTTCTATAGTAGAGTATAGTCTATAGGTCTGTCAGTGCTATAGTCTAGTCTATAGTCTAGTCTATAGTCTAGTCTATAGGCTAGTCTAGTTAGTCTATAGTCTAGTCTTAGTCTAGTCTTAGTCTAGTCTATAGTCTAGTTAAGTCTAGTCTATAGTTAGTCTATAGCTGAGTTATAGTCTAGTCTAACGTCTAGTCTATAGTTAGTCTATAGTCTAGTCTATATAGTTAGTATAGTCTAGTCTATAGTCTAGGCTATGTCTAGTCTATAGTCTAGTCTCTAGTCTAGTCTATAGTCTAGGCTCTAGTCTAGTATATAGTCAGTCTATGTCTAGTCTATAGTCTAGTCTATCGTCTAGTCTATAGTTAGTCTATAGTCTAGTCTATAGGTCTAGTCTCTAGTCTAGTCTATAGTCTAGTCTATAGTATCGTCCTATAGTCTAGTATATAGTCTAGGTCTATAGTCTAGTCTATAGTCTCTATAGTCTAGTCTATAGTCAATCGAGTGCTGATAGTCCAAGCTTTTTTTCTAATCTATAGTAATTCTATAGAGTGCAGAATCTTCGATTTCTTTGTAACCTACACCAAAAAAAGCTCTTTAATATGGCCAGTCATTATCATAAATTTTGGATTGTTTATTTTGTTATTGATGATGATTATTATTATCACTCAATATCATCTATTGTAGCAATAGATAAAATTCTTTATGTTAATAGTAAAAAAGATTCCACATAAATGTTACAGCAGACAGCAGGGATCTAGGGATGGATAGAAACGTATGTATGTATTACATAAAAATTGCTGTATCAGCTTTTATGTGTGAATGTGTGTAAGTAAGGAAATCTTATATTTTCCATATTTAAATTTTATGTTTTTATTTTTCATTCCTCCCAGCAATTGTCACTAGAAATGTTAGTGGTTTTCGGAAAACAAGGTTGGGGTTGTGTTGAAAGCAGGAAAAGATGAAATCAAAATAACAAAATATAAATTTTCTTTAAATACATTCGAGGATAGAGACACTGCCTAAGGGTGTCCCTACCCCATGGCAATTGGTTTGTTATTAAATTTATTAAATTGTTAACATTTTGGGACAAAATGGAAAGTTATTAGAAAAATATTGAAATATTTTGTAGTTTTTTTTTAAGGTAATCCTGTAAAGGACACCCTTATAAATGTTTTGTTATGGTGATTGGGAACAAACATGGAGGTCTGTCTGTCTGATTCTGTATAAATATTATATTATATTTTTGCTTTTATTTCATATATATTTGATATGATTTGAATTTGAATATTTGATTTTAAACATATTGATAACATAACAAATAACATAGATTGTTAATATTTAGAGAAAAAAACTAAGAGACTTTAAAAGTTTTAAGGAAATGTATAACAAAACCAACCAATTTTAAAGAAGCGAAAATTGTAATAAAAATCAAAACCATGTTCTTAAGCGTATGATTGATATTATGAAAATTTTTTAATTCATAACACTCATACGCCTAGGGCTATAAATTGTAAATGAAATGTTAAATTCTATAGAACTTCTAAACTAATCATTAAATTTTTATAAAAATTTAACTATCTATAGAAAAACTATTAAACTATCATAAACATTACACTGAAGCTTAAATTGTTTCTAATGGTGCGCTATTAAAGTGCCACAAATTGTATCAGTTTTAGACCAGAATTTCTATGATTTAAATTCACACAAATTACTTTCTTAGTACATCTATTTAAAATAAATTATTTAATCTTTATATCATTCTCTTAGCACTCGTTTGTCTATTTAAATTCTTTCCTTTTAACAACAGAACAAATTATTTAAATCATATTAATTTCATTTAAAAATTAATAGCATATTATTTGCATATAAAGTAAAGTATTCAAATTACACACACACACACACATACATATTATTACTAATTAGAGACGTATGTAAGTATTATATACAATAGAGATCTGTAATTTTCTACTAATAATTATTATATTAAATAAATGTCTTAATATTATTATAATAAAAATATTGATTTATTGATGTTCTAATGAAATTAAACACTAAATCAAATTCAGGCAAATTGCAGGCAGGAAGGCAGTAGCTGAAACAGTGAAGAACAAAACAAACAAAAGTTTTTAGAGAAACAGAACAAGAACAGAACTAGGACAGAAGAACAGAACTAGAACAGAACTAGAACAGAACTAGAACAGAACTAGAACAGAACTAGAACTAGAACAGAACTAGAACAGAACTAGAACAGAACTAGAATAGAACTAGAACAGAACTAGAACAGAACTAGAACTAGAACAGAACAGAACAGAACAGAACAGAACAGAACAGAACAGAACAGAACAGAACTAGAACAGAACTAGAACAGAATTTATTTATTATTATTATGTATTAGTATTATTAATACTTTTAAGTTACAATTGTGGTTACAATTTTGATTACATAATCATTAAATTAATTTTAGCTCTATAAAAGTACATTTGTATTATTTTTAACAAAAATTTACACATTCTTTCCTAAATGAACAGAACTAGAACAGACTAGAACAGAACTAGAACAGAACTAGAACAGAACTAGAACAGAACTAGAACAGAACTAGAACAGAACTAGAACAGAACTAGAACAGAACTAGAACAGAACTAGAACTAGAACAGAACTAAACAGAACTAAAACAGAACTAGAACAGAACTAGAACAGAACTAGAACAGAACTAGAAGCAGAACTAGAACAGAACTAGAACAGAACTAGAACAGAACTAGACAGAACTAGAACAGAACTAGAACAGAACTAGAACAGAACTAGAGCAGAACTAGAGCAGAACTAGAACAGAACTAGAGCAGAACTAGAACAAAACTAAAACAGAACTAGAACAGAACAGAACAGAACTAGAACAGAACTAGAACAGAACTAGAACAGAACTAGAACAGAACTAGAACAGAACTAGAACAGAACTATAACAGAACTAGAACAGAACTAGAACAGAACTAGAACAGAACTAGAACAGAACTAGAACATAACTAGAACAGAACTAGAACAGAACTAGAACAGAACTAGAACAGAACTAGAACAGAACTAGAACAGAACTAGAGCAGAACTAGAGCAGAACTAGAACAGAACTAGAGCAGAACTAGAACAAAACTAAAACAGAACTAGAACAGAACAGAACAGAACTAGAACAGAACTAGAACAGAACT